CCTCCCCACTCTCCCACTGACACAGCTCTAGCGACGCCCCTGATAACGACACAGTTTATACACTCGAGAAATGTTTTGCAAGTACTACTGATGAAGTACCGGACCATCGTCTTTGTGCATTGCGGCATCAAAGCATATACAACGTCTCAAGACGTGACAGATCACTTTTCCTAAATCAAGCCAATCAGAAGGCCTCGTTTTTTTTTTCAAGGAAGTGCCGGTGGACATTAAAGCGCCAATGTGGTTCTCAAATTGCACAAGATCCCTACTCTGGGAAGGGGTAGGAGAAGGCATATTACTCCAGGAAGTGCCTGAAAATGCGTCTAATTTGGTTCTAAATTGCAAATGCTTCTTACTCTGGGAGAGGCCCAGAACTCCCCCCCCCCCCCCCAGATCCACCCTCGCTTGGTCGCTCCGCTCCCTCGCCGCTAAAGCCTCGTTCTGTCGCCTCATCGTTTTACATATATTTATATTGTGCCCCCCCCTTGAGCTTCGGGGGCTCCGCCCCTTGACCCCCGCCGGGGCTTTGCCCCTAGACCCCACTTTGCGAAACGTTCAGCGGGGCCTGCATGTCAGAGTAGGGTGGTGCGGATTTTTTTTTTTGTCAGCCCCCCCCCCCCCAAACGTTTTTGCTCATTACGCCACTGGGGTCTGAAGCACGGTCTGAAAGCCTGGAAAGACCTTAAATAATAAGTCACATAATTAGGCCTACATCAACTATAAATGCGAGTTAGCATAACGAGCGAGCTTTGGGTAAAAATTCAAGAAATTTTTTAAGAATGGAAAATGACACAATGACACAGAAAAAAAGGAGCACGTGTCAAAGTCGAGTGGGCAATATTATTATCAGAGGTGAAATTAAAGGAGGCACTTATGAGAATGAAACAGGGGCACTTTTGAGAAAGAAAAAGGGTCACTTATTACAAAGGAAATGGGGCAATTGCTGCAACTTCATGCGAGGTCTCCTCAGCTTTTCAAGTTTATTTATGGTGGTCCATCACCATCCATGTCTTCGAATTTTATACGAGTCACATTTAGTAAGAGGACATTTATATATATATATATATATATATATATATATATATATATTCCAGCCAGCCACTGGATAAGCAGGGGGTGGGGGGGGGGGGGGGTAAGAGGACATTTAAAAAAAATATTTTGGTCCCAAAAATGTTGCAACGACTCAACCAGCCACTGAATAAGCGGGGGGGGGGGGGGGGAGAGGGGGGGGGGGGGGGGGGGTAAGAGCTTCTTTTGTTTGTGTGTCTCAAAATTTGAAAAATTGGCCTATCGATATTTCGTTACGTTGGGGGGGGGGGGGGGGGTGAGGTCAGCTTTTTGGGTCACCATTACCACAATTTAATTTTTTTTTAATTATAATGTTTTTAAATTAAAAACAAAACAAATGGAGGGGGTTCGTCCAAAACACACACATCAAAAACTTAAAGGTGGGTTTAACCCCCCCCCCCCTGCGTACGCGCCTGGGAAAACGCATGGTATATCCCTATGTATCCCTATCTAAATGAGGATTTCGCGTCATTTTCCCCCGAATTCACACTCTAAACGGGTATATTTAAAAAAAAGTGTACTCCTAACCAAGTATTGTAAAATTGTAACCCCTTGAGCATTTTGAAGTGCGATAGGAATAACCATTTAAATTGTTGACGATGTGAAATAAATCAAATTGCGCTTCTGATGTAAAATTCACTGTATGTAAAATTTATTTCAATAGAGAAGCATGATCAACCTGTACACTTCCAAATGGGTTTAATGCGCATACATCATAAGTCATTTCTTTGACTTATTTCATTTTTTTTTTCAAATTTGATCTATAAAAGTATACGTAGTGTTTACAAAAAGTAAACAATGTACAATGAACACTTATTATTCTACTATGCAAAACAAAGTATAAGGGACCAGCTATGTACGTGAGACTTATACCTGGGTCGATATCTGAGGCATCCAGTTTAATCTACTGAAGATTTATAAAGACCGGCAGGCGGAGGCGGCGGTATCGTCTCGCCAATGGGCATTATTACCCTCCTTTTTTCCGGTCTGGCCCTGCATGGAGGCTAAACAACTACCCCTAAATGCGTTTACCGGGGCGTATACAGCAGGATATTGAACCCTTTTGAGAAAGTACCCTTTTTCTCGAAAGTGGCCCAAAATGGACGTTTTGAACTCCTTCAAGGAAACGCCCCCCTCTCAAAATGAAATGGAAGCTCTTATTACCAATCATGACAAAAAATATGTTTTGACTAATACGTGATGATACAAATTTTCCCGGGAAACCGCCTACTATTAAGTAAATTATCATAACGATCGGTCTGGATAGATATCGCGAATTCGCTTCAACGTTGAACATTTGGGCATATATTTCTGTTTTTTGCGAATTTATTACCATCTTAACCTCTGAAAGCAATATTTAAACAATATTGAATGGATATTTTGCACCCAAAACCCTTGAACCGCGTCCAATCTATAAAAAAAAACCCACCCCTTAATAAACGCGTTTTCTTACGTATGTACGCATGCTCAGGCGCGGATCCAGGGGTGGCCGAGCGGGCCTTGCCCCTCCCCCCCCCCCCCCCCCCCCCCCCCCCCGGGGGGGCAAAAAGAGAGAGAGAGAGAGAGAGAGAGAGAGAGAGAGAGAGAAGGAAAAGAAGGAAAAGAGAGGAGAAAGGGAAAGAAAGAAGGAAGGAGGAAAGAAAAAGAGAGAAAAGAAGGAGATCAGGGGCGGCCGAAAAGGGCCTTGCCTCCCAGCTGTTACCCCCCCCCCCCCCTCCCCCATTAAGAAATAAGAGAGAAGGAAGGAAAGGGAAATAAAAAAGGTAGAGAGGAGAAAAAGGGAGGGAAAAAAGAGGAAGAAGAAAAGAAAAGAAGGGGGATATCATTTGCAATTTTTCCGCCAACAAGTTGTAGCTCGGGAGGGGGGGGGGTCAAAAGGTCCATGCCCCCCCCCCCCAACAACAAAAAAAAAAGGAGGAAGGAAGGGAAAGAGGAGAGCTAAAAGGGAACAAAAAAGAGAAAGAAGAAAGTTAGGGGGATCAGTTACGATTTTTTCCGCCAACAAGGTACGTGTAGATCGGGGAGGGGGCCCACTAGCGTACTGATGGGGGGGGCGGTGGGGGTGGTCCCCCCCCCCAAAAAAAAAAAGAGTGAGAGAGAGAAAGAGAGAAAAGAGAAAAGAAAGGGAGAGGACGTAGAGAGAAAAAGGAGCAGACTATTTCAAAGTCTAACAAACTCTAATAATGTAATGAAACGTCACGGAAGAGGGGAGGGAACTGAATCCAGACAAGGATTAAAGTCGAGAACGGTCCAACGAATCGTCTTCTTTCTCTAATGATACATTTATAGAAACGTCAAAGCTTTCGCGCTGGAGAGGGGAACTGAATGCATACAAGGATTAAGAGTCGAGAACGGTACGACGCAAGCGCGTACGCAGGATTTTTTCGAGGGGGGGGGGGGGGGGTTAAAATTGAAGGTCACGTCGAAAATTTCGCAACGACTCAGCTGGCCGCTGAATTTCGTTGGGGGGGGGAGGGGGGGGGGGGGGGTTAAGGTTAGCTTTTTGGGTCACCCATTACCCCAATTTTCTTTTTTACCCCCCATTTTTTTTTATTGAATAAAAAACCCAAAGGGGGGGGGGGGAGTGTTCATCCAAAACACACATATACAAAAAGTTAAGGGGGTTCAACCCCCGATCTCCCCCCCCCCCATGCGTACGTCTTCTTTCTCTAATAATACTGAAACGTCAAAGCTTTCGCGCGGGAGGGGGAACTGAATTCAAACAAGGATTAAACGTCGAGAACGGTACAACGAAGCGTCTTCTTTCTCTAATAATTAATAAAACGTCTAAGCTTCCGCGCTTCGCGCACAAGAGGGGGGGGGGCTGAATCCAGACAAGGATTAAGAGTCGAGAACGTGGTCCAACGAATCGTCTAATTCTTTCTCTAACAATACATTAAATGAAACGTCAAAGCTTTCGCGCGGGAGGGGGAAACTCCCCAGGCGCGGATCCACGTAGCGATTTCTCCGGCCGGGCCCCCCCCCCCCCCGCCCCCAAAACGGTAAAAAAAAATAGGATAATAACCTAAATTTAACCTTTTTTAATACAAAAAACAAGAGCGGACTCCCCCCCCCCCCCCACTAAAAAAATGTATATATATATATATATATATATATATATACTTAGATTTGGTCTATTCCTCCGTACTTATTGGCAGAGCAAAATATAAATAAGGCAGACTAATGGAGCATGGTTGCAACTCCGAGTTTCACGCCTTGCGAGCGATATCATCAGGCAACTGGTAGCATGATTACTCTATAATCTACAATACGTTCAAAATAAGGCTTGACTAATATACAATACAAAACAATAAGATTTACTCATCGGTGAAGGGGCTATTGTAATTGCTCAGGTACTGCGATGGAATTTTAAACATGGGAGGGGGTATCGCAAAATACCCCCTCCAGTTGCCTGATGATCGCTCGCAAGGCGTGAAACTCGGAGTTGCAACCATGTTCCATTAGTCTGATTATCTAATTTATATATATATATATTTTCACCCCCCCCCCTCAACAAAAATTAGTGGTTCTCCTCTCGAATCATCACCTCCCCCCCCCCCCCCCCCTTGCTTATTCACCGACCGGCTGAGTCGGCGCTGAATTTTCCTCAAAAAAAGGTGCTCTTACCACCCCCCCCCCCCCCCCCCCCCCCCCCCCCCCCCCCCCCCACCCCCCCCCCCCCCCCCCCCCCCCCCCCCCCCACCCCCCCACCACCCCGCTTATTCACCGGCCCGGCCGGCTGAGTCGGTGCTAAAAAAAAATTCTCAAGATTTGGCCCCCCCCCCCCCCCCCTCCTGTCGCCGGCTGGATCCGCCCCTGGAACTCCCCCTCCCTGCACCCCCCCCTAATAAAATACTTATCGATGAATGATATGGAATGCGTAGGTATACGTACGCACGTGCGCACGAACAAAACAACGGACGTACGTACTATATCGCGCATGACAATAATAGGTCGATTTCCATGATCTGATGAGCGGACTCCCCGAGACTAAGTCATCGAAGACCTTCTAAATCCAGGGTAATTGCCATCTCTTCAAATATATTGCAATTTTAAATTTTCGTATAAATACTATATGATTCATTAAAAGACTTTTTCACAAGTTCATTGCCGCGTTGTGCTGTAATTATCGCAGCTAAATAGACTTGGATACACTTGGCAACGAGACTCTTTCCAAAGAGTGGAGCCTTAATAATTGAGTCGAGTAGGCCTAGCTATACCGGTAGTACCAGTACATAGAGTCTATGCGGGTTAGCTGGCTGGCTAGACACTTAAAATAGACCGAAAGCTTCAGTCTCTGATCAATAGTGATATCGACGATTGTTTTGCTAAGATTGCGTCTGGCTCCTCTGACCGCCTCTATACATATGGGGAATGTCGACAAATGTCAGTTTTATTAAAGAATGACCCATACCAGACGCACACATATAGGAGCATCACTATCCTGGCTGTGTAGTAAGCTGTGCTTTTGATTCTCAACATTTCAAACACCACTGTACAAAACCCAACTGATTTCACTCAAAATCGGTACTTTAGTGAGAATTGATGACACCTAAATAGCAGTAAAATACATTTTTTCAACTTACTGATGTTAAAAAGAATAATTTAAAAATTCAAATTGTAAGTCTAGAGTCAAACTTTGCTTACAGCTGCATCGACATGATTGTGTACAGTCTAGAGTCTAGTATGCAATATTGTGTGGTGTGTGCATTTGTGTATAGACCTGCCTCACAGCATGTATGCAGTGCTAGAGGTTAATACGCATTGGCATTGGTCGACTCTCTATGCTTTGCTGGAGCGACCAGACGGTTATTTCTGTCTAGAGTCATGCCCAGACGCTAGATGTTGCATTGCATCGCGTCGCGTTGTGTGTCACTGACACTACACGTCCCGGTTAACACCTTGCACCTAGTACTAATTATTGCTAAGATTCTTGCAACCTTAAAGGTCACTTCTTAATCACATGACATGCAATATAAGTATAATGTTGAACAGCATCATCATCATTCTCCAGGCATGCAATACACCTTCATGGTTAAGCCATGCAAAGCAACCATTTTTTAAAATTTGCAATTAGATCTAGGTCTAGACTATAATAAACATTGCTACTTTTGCGTCATCAACTCAATGTTTTCAGATGAGCATGTATTGTTGCATCTCTGCCTGCGCTGTGCGCTCACATCATTGACATGGGCCCCATTAAATTACGAGTAAACAACTTAGTTACTCGAAATTTAAAATGGCGCCAATATCACTATCACTAGTATCAGCGCATGCGCACCCACGCGCACTAATTGGAATTCATTTGATCAATTTCACCATTGCACGCTGAAAAAAAAAGATTGTTCTAATGAAGCCTGTTAACATCCTAGGCATTGTATAAAACAAATAGTGAATGGTCTTTATTTGCTGCATGCGCAACTTGAGCGCGATCGCAAGCTCCACCTCAGTTTTCGTTGTGCAGGTCAGTTCGCCAAAGATATTTTTAGAATTCTGAGATGACGCCCCTTTGGAAATATGGAGATAAACCTGCTCTTTCATATGAAACCTCGTTTATTGAGTATCACCTTCAGGATCACAAGCAATAAAGGCATACCTGCCAATCCTTCCAAATAATCCAGAATATTCTGATTTTTTAACATTCTGATTTTGTTTTTTGATGTTGCTAAAGCCAAATTAAGCTTGTTTTATCATGTGCCGCGATTTGAGATTTCACATGAACGAGCAGCGAATTTGTATTCATAGGCGCCGCTCTTCCGGTGGCGACGGCGTCAACATCAAAAACTTAACCTAAGGTTAAGTTTTTGAATTTTTGATATAATTTTGAAAGTATAAGTTCTTAGTCAATGAAACTTGGACTATAGGGTTATCAAGTATCCCCAATCATGTGAGTAGAATTTCAGGTCACAAAGTCAAGGTCAAAGGTCATTTCAGGTCAACAGACTTGGACTATGTTGTGGCATCATCGAAAACTTAACCTAAGGTTAAGTTTTTGAATTTTTGATATAATTTTGAAAGTATAAGTTCTTAGTTAATGAAACTTGGACTATAGGGTAATCAAGTATCCCCAATCATGTGAGTAGTATTTCAGGTCACTAAGTCAAGGTCAAAGGTAATTTTAGGTCAACAAACTTAGACTTTGTTGTGGCATCAACATCAAGATTTTGAATTTTTAGCATATTTTCAAAATTGATTATTCAAATTCCATGTAACTTGTACCCAAGGGTTGTCAAGTATCACAAATCATATGACACAAATCCAGGTCACAAGGTCAAATGTCAGTAGACTTGGATTATGTTTTCACAACTTAAGATGAGAATTAATTTAATTTTTTTTTAATTTGTTCATATTTCATTCAAGTTATCGATCGTGGTACATTTAAGAGTAAATAATTCTTCTGATGATTCTTATTCTTCACTTCAAAATGTGATTATATTTAGAGGATTTCATTTTTGGGGGCCTGCTAATGGGCCACCCTGCCTATGAATAATGTTCCAACCTCAATTTTTCATCATATCGATTTGCCTAATGCATTAAAAGAGCCTCTGTGTAATTGAAAATTTGTTTTAGAAATTTATCAGGACGCACACACAGTGTGCCAATGTATATGGACCAACTTGTGGTTTTGGTATATGAAGAGCTCAGATCCAAAAAGTACTACCTGTACATGATTTTTTAATTTTTTATAGTTTGTGTGCATTAATGTAAGCCTCATACATACATTGTAATTGTAAATAAATTTATGGATGATTCTTTGTAAATATTCACTTCAAAATGCTAATTATGTACAGAGGATTTCAATTTTGGGGGCCTGTTAATGGGTCACCCACCCTGCCTATAAATAATGTCCCAAATAATGTCATATCGAATTGCATAATGCAGGCGAGACTGCCGAGAGCCTTTCCCTTGTTTTTGTACAGATTTACCAGTTACCAGTTACACTGCGCTGCATGTGCGAACGCTTGTTCAGGGTGCAGATTACTTATTTTCGAAGGCATATACCTCGCTAGAAATTCCTGATTCTTATTTTCAAATGTTTCATATCTTGAAACATTTTTCACAATTTTCTGGGGTTTGCCATACAAAAATCTGAAGAAAAGATGGCTGTGTCATTTTGACATTTGTAAAACAAAAGTGCCCAAGTCTGCACACTCGTTCATTTTACACGCAGCTCGACATTTTTTACATGAAAGGCAACTTTTCAGGGCTTGTGAATAGAATTGCTGAAATAAGATTTTTGTCAATATTTTGACTCATTTTTTGCATGGATATCTATAGACCGAAAGCTTCAGTCTGCGATGGTTGTTCTGCTGAGATTACATGATCTGGCTCCTCTGCACTGACCGCCTCTATACATAGACTGAAGTACGTCCTATAACAGGATTATTTGATGGCACTTATAATCAATTAAGGAAGAATTTAATGGACCTTTTGATTTATTGTGAAATTATTCTATCCTTTCAGGTGATGGATCCTTTCTCTGGTGGATAACTGGATAAACGCCAATTTTCAATATGTCTGAACGCTCCAGAAATGATTCCTCAAGTAGCCACTCCAATCAGAAAAGTGAAAGCACAAGAGGCGACAGGTTGTCATCTCAAAGCAACAGCAATGCGTCCATTTCTCAGTCCAAAAAGAATCAGTTTGACCCAGGAGGCTTGAAAAAAGATGATGGCATGGACCAAGTGAAGTCAAATTTACCTCTTGATAAAACACCTGAAGAAAAGGGAAAGACAAACGAAACCATAGAAGACTCACACGGAAAGAACTCTCAGCCTGTGAGGTTGCTCTTGGTGTCCAATAAGATCAAGAACCATGGGCCAGTAGTCAATGCTGTCCTTCCACATGTCAAGTTGGTGCAATATAAGTATGAGACTGTTAAACTGGAGACAATCAAGAGTGATATTTCTCAGGCACTGGATGGAAAAATGGCTGCCAGTATTGCATGTGTGTTGCATACAAAGCCAGGAACCATCCTTCTATGTTCTAGTGGTGACTGCAGGGAGGTAAGTTATGGTAGCATAGATCGATTCTTGAAATTTATTAACAAAAAGGAAAATAATATTAAAGATTGCATTTACTTTACAAAAATTGAGAGTCATAAATTATATCATGAAAATTGAGTTATTCTCATACTGAATTACATCTTTATTTGAAATCCAGTCTTAAAGATTAAAATTACTTGTATGCCTCTGTCACAGAAGGTGGTGCTGGTTCCATCCCACTTTTCTGTTGCCTCAATAACTTGAGAACCATTGAACAGATTTTAACCAAACTTCGATTAAGATCACAGAGACCTAAAAGTGTTTAAAAATATGAGAGAACATCTCGACCCTGGGATAACTTGAAAAGTCACACCAGACTAGCTTGGATGACGTGTGTGAGCTGCAAGGATTATATTTTTGGTAGAAGAGGTCAAAGTCCAATTTATGACACAGGGTCATAAGAATATTAAAAATCACCAAAAATATCTTTGAACTAATGTGGACTAGCGCAGGGCTCAAGTATGTTGTACGAGGCATGCATATGTTTGTGAGGTCAGATGTGAAAGGTCACATCTGTAGGCCGAGGCATAACGAGATGCAGTTACATTCATCTTGTTGATTGGGTTTTTATTTCAATAAAAACATATTCCTCCTTGCCATTTATTTATGATTTTTACTCAACATGAATGAATCATAAAACTGTGCTTTCAATATCTACAGAATATAAAGTGGGCATAATATCCATGCCCTTCTTTCTTTTCTATTGCCAAGTGCAAAAAAAAACAATAATTTAGTCAAAAATTGAATTATTTCAGGTACTAACGTCAGGGAATGGATCAGACAATTGTAGTAATGTGAAGGACTTCTTCAAATATCTCACTTCGAATCATCTGGACATAACTGCAATTGGAGCCAGGATAGACTTTCTTGCCTGTAGTGCTCTCAGACCCCCTGAGATTGGAAAACTTGTACCACTATTTGAAAGTGTCACTCAGGTAAAGTATTCAACTGCTGTAGTTGGCTACATGTATGAAAGTCCTTTGTATACATACATTGTAAGGTTTGAGGCCCTATGTCTGTGTAGCACCCTTGTTTATGCATCCAAGTGTAGGATTCTTGTCAAACAAAAGACAACTTATCACCTGTATTATAGTAATAGATATTAATCAAGAAACTGTTAAATATCTATTTACAACCCTGGAAATGTCATATTTCATGTAATTTAATTTGATTAATGAAATCAGTGTATATATAAGTACAAACATTCAATGATATAGTGGCATATTTGTTTTTGAAATATCAATATGAATTTGATGAGATTTTAAGCATATTAATATGTTTTCGAATATCATAATAAAATGCATTAGAGGAATAATCAAGAAAACATTTGTGCAATGTTCAAGTTGATTCAAATTTTAGGTTTAGGTTTAGGTTATGGCATAGGTATAAACAATCTGGTATAAACCCTCAGCTGGTTGGTTTTTGTCAGTCATACATGTAGGCAAGCATAAATTAATATGATGCTAGTATATTATATACTAAGACTGTTGGTACATGTAGCTGTACTAAATGAAAAATATGAGTTCATATTTAAATGTGGCTTTGAGAAATTTCTTTTATTTCTGTTATCAAATCATATTTAGTGTAGTATTTATGATTGTGCATTACTCAAGTGATATAAGCAAATTTACTGTACTCAAATACTTCATATGCTTTATGGCTTTTTAATTTATATTGTTTCAGTAGATTGGTGAAAAATGTTACTCTCAAATGCATTTCTATGTCTTCATTATGTTAGGTACCGGTAGGTATATCCAAAGAAATTCTTGGAACAGATATACAGATGAAAAGTAACCCCAACTCATTCCAGTAAGTGATCTAACAAAACCTTTAGGAAAGATGGCTAGAATTTCATTTTTTCATAACTTATTTATTGTCATTTACTGACATTTCATGCCACAGTTCATTCTCCTACTAAAGATATAAGCATTCTTTCATTTAGTATGAGACGGGTCATAACATCGTTGTGAAGATTAATGATGTTACATATATACTGATTATAAATGGAAACATCTTGGGGAAGCAGTGCCATTCATATTTTTAATTTTTGTTTAAACCTTGCATTAGACACTTTTCATACAAAGTTTAGAAATGTGTTGGTGTTCATTATATGTAGTTGTATATTTATTGAATGTAAACATATAATCATATACTGTAAGGTCTTAGGGGAAATGATTGCATTTGGCATAATTCTTCATGGATTAAAGATATATATTGGAATATTGTTATAATGGTCGCATAATATGTTATTTTTCTGTCAATATTAAACACATCAAAGGAATTATTTGAAGTTCTCAATGATATTTCTCTTACTTGCTAACATGGTTCACTGAAACTGTCATACGTATTGTATGTCAAAGTCAAAGGTAACATTAGGTTAGGTTTTATCCTTATCCTTTACCCCAATTTGCAGCCAAGTTCTTGTTCTTGAGTTTGTGTCAGCATAATAGTAAATAAAGTACTAACTACCTTTACATATTCTTGTTTTCTAGTTGCGTTGGAGAGATGTATTTTGAAGTGGAGAAACTGAAGAATTGGAGCCCTCAGCCCCAGAAATTGGCTGGATTTGAAAGAATTAGAACAGTTGGGAAAGGTAAAGATCATATTTTGATTTGTTTTTTCGTCCATTTTAAATGATTGAGAATCATCAACCGTCAGCCAATAGAGCCTTCATTGAAGATTGAGGTGTTGTGATCCAGTGGGTAAGTCAGTAGACTGTAGATCACAAGATATGGGTTTCATTTAAGTCCCAGCCCGGCACTAACAATCTTTGGCAAGATGTTATTCTTTATTTGCTTCTCTCCACCCAGGTGTAAATGGTTGCCTGATGTGCTTGAGTGCTAGTTACTTTGGCAACTTAATAATGTTTATAAGCACTAAACGCATCACTGTGTGACAAATATGAGCACTATACAAGCAGCCATTGTTCAAATAATATTTTAGAAATTGACAGTAATATCATACAGAGTGTGAGTGAGTAGAGATAACCATTACTGTTTTGGATCAAAATTAATCTTTTAATAAAAGCAGAACCCCCCAAATAGACTGGTGAGAAAAAGTGGGTGAATGATAAGAAAGTTTAAACTTTGTGCAAGTCAAGATCACATCACATGAATGGTAAATTGACAATTTGTCAAACGTGAATGTGATACAAATTTGCGAATTCCCCAAGCTATACCTCTCTTGAAATGTTTATGAAGCAACATAGTAAAGGAGAACATGCCTTGATCGAACTATTTGTCATTTGAGAACAGATATGAGAAAAATGTTCATGTTGTTTCACAGCTGAAATTATTATTATTGTTTTTGTATTTTTGTATTTTATTATTATTATTATTTTTATTTATTTATTTTTATTATTATTTTTTTAAATTTATTTATTTTATTTTAATTTATTTATTTATTTATTTTTATTTTTTATTTTTTATTATTTATTTATTTATTTATTTATTTTTTTTTTTTTTGGGGGGGGGGGAAGGGGGGCGGAGATGGTAGGCAATGGTCTTAAATTCCATATATATATATATATATATATGTTACTAAAGGCGTCATTAGAGGGACATTTGGAGTGAAAAATGAGTCATTAAGTAGACATTGTGATTAGGAGGACAATTTGGTGTCCTCTTAACGTTTTTTACTTTTTATTTGTTGTGGAAGGCCCAATTTTGTTATATATCTCTCTCTATATATGTAATTTTACTAAAGGCGTCATTGGAAGGACATTGGGAGTGAAAAAATGAGTCATTAAGTAGACATTAGGGTTAGGGTTAGGGTTAGGTTTAGGGTTAGGGTTAGGGTTAGGGTTAGGGTTAGGATTTTTATGATGTCCACTTAATGTACCATGTAGGGTTATATATATATATATATATATATATATATATATATATATATATATATATATATGTATGTGTATTACCCTGCATCTAATTGCTTAATGATAAGAGAAGTGATTTTAATTTTATGTACCTTTTAGGCCTTGCATTTTAATCAATTTTGTTGTATCCTCCTTTGAATGGGCAACTTGTTCACTTTATTTGTGTATTAACTGAATTCATTATTTAACTTCTAATTTATTTGATATTTCTCCTCCTTTGCAGGTGCATATGGTGCTGCTGTGCTGTACAGGAAAAGAGATGATGACTCTCTTGTGATCCTCAAAGAAATTAACATGCATGAGCTAAATGCAAATGAAAGACAAATGGCCCTCAATGAGGTATGGCAAAGCATCTTACATAGTTCATGAAGAGACAGATTTAAATTACATTTTACACCATAGATTTTGGGGTTATGAGGTCAAAGGTCTTAAGGTTCATTATGTATGCAAAAATAACTGGTGATCGCGTTATCTCAAGAACTGATTGATGGATTGAAGATTCCTGCCCTACTTAGGTCATGTATGTATCTTGCAGAGCCAATGAATTGATTAGATTTTGGGGTTATGAGACCAAAGGTTAAAGGTCACAGGGCTCATTATGTATGCAAAAATAGCTTGTGATCACATCATCATTAGAACCGATGGATGGATTACCATCAAACTCAAGACATGTATGTATCTTGCAGAGCCCCAATAAACTGAGTAGATTTTGGGGTCATGAGGTCAAAGATATAAGGGTCATACATGTATATCACGATATTCTGAGAACCTGTTAATGGATTACAATCGAACTTGAATTTTAAAAATTACTTCTGTTTTGGTTTGTAAAATTGCTCTATGACGGAGGCATCAATTTTGACTGCGCGCAGTCGAAGTTCCATCTAGTTACACCTAACCTAGATGTGTATATATTTGTTATTTTTTTTATTCATAAAATGTTGGATTACCATATTGAAATTCAGTGAATATTTAGTGTTCAAATATATAAAGAAATTTCAGTATAGGCTTAGATATATGTGGGAATTTGATGTCCTTGCTCACTATCCAAAGAGCTCTTGGTCATAGAGATGCACATTTTTAACAATTGCTACGTGCAAGATTTAGATTGACAATCTGTGCGTAGGTTGCTGAGGTCGTTTAGCTTCCCTGTATGCGGTAATGATGAATATCGGTATCGAATGTTAAATTTTCAGTGATAATTTTACACACGTATCGGGCTACGATTTAGACCCCCTGGGTAAATGTGGAATTCATGTGGTATTAGAACCTTCAACCTCCTGATTGAGAGTCAAAGTGAATGAACCAATGTACCCCAATACCTCCATGAATAATAATCAGAATGGATGTGGTCAAAAGCTCTTTTGGTGTAGTCCTTCTGTCAAAGAATGCATGTGGAAGCATGGCTGCTATTTGTCTAGATAATAAAGGTCATTAATAAATGATGAGTAGCTAATGTTTTCACTCCAAATTATATTGGCTCTTTGATTAGATTCGGGTATTAAGCATGCTAGATCATCCGAACATCATCAGCTACTATGACAGCTTTGAAGAAGAGGGTACTCTTATGATTGAGATGGAGTATGCAGATGGAGGGTAAGCTCTCACATATCAAAATCCTTGTGTTCTGTGTTCATTCATTATGTTGTCTTATCTAGTAATGCTTGTTTTGAAGCAAAGAATGAACTAATATAGTGATTATTTATTTCTCACAGAAAGATCTTCGATGAACTCAATTGCAATAAAACAATATCATTTGATATAATTATATTTTGTGTGAAAAGAAGCATATATGAACATTCAGATATTACACAAAGAATGAGAAAGAAGGGAATTTAGACAAGAATGTTTGTTTTCTTGACAGGACTTTGGCCGAGTACTTGGCTAGCAACCAGGGTAAGAGTGAGATGGAAGAAAGAGAGATTCTTATCATGTTTCAACAGATGGTTTCTGGTATCAGACATGTTCACGATCACATGATTTTACACAGGTGAGAAAAATTGTTATCACTTTTCAAAGCTGTTCAACACTCTTTTGTATAGTGATAATGTCATACGGGTGTCTAAAAATAAATGCAACAAGAATTTGAGTGGCAACATCTTCAAATGTCAGGTCACCTTGAAGTAGTATCTCCTTTAATATCATCCTGTGACTTTCAAGAAAATTTAAGCAAAAAATTGAAAATTATTAAAAGAAAAGCATCTTGAATACCGGTAGCATCTGTGCACAATAGGCCTGAGTCATGTCAGGAATTTTATAAACCGGGTCCCGACGGCCTTGCACCGATCTGGTACCGGTGTCCCGATATCAGCTGGCAGAATCTGTCTCTTGTCTCTATAAATATCGCACATCATCAGCGTACATACAGAGTTACACTCGGTCTGTATCTGTTAGCGGTGAGCTAAACTACTCGGCAAAACTAGTCAAAATCGTTGATTCAATCCTATTAATTTTTCCCTTTTTTACATTAAAAGTATGCTACCTACTGTAAGGTTGAAATTTACATCATTATTGTAAATGTTGTTCGTGTACGAAAGGACAAGAAAATATTTAAAGAAAACAATAATAATTCAACAAGCCTTTACTGGCAAGTACATAATATTTATTTTTGAGAAATTGTTTGCAGTGAGTCCAAAGTCATAATCCCCTTTGGAACAATTATGGCTGCGCGAGTCCAAAGTCTGCATTACAACGCGCGGACATTATCATTTTCGTAACAAAGGCTGCACGAATCCAAATTCCACAATGCGCTAACATAAACCCCTTCTGTCATAATGGTTACGCGAGTCCAAAGTTTGCATTGCAAGGCGCAGAAATGTCTGCCCCCTGCATTAACAGCTGCTCATGCCGAGACCCAGTATAAGCTAGCTTCGCTGGCAACAACAACCCCATGCTGCGAACAGCAAACTTTAGTGCGACTCATATTTATATCAGCAGTTCGTTCGATTCAGGAAGAGCTACAGTGTAGAATATGAAATACAAATTGGTAAAAATTGAATACTTCAAGAGTTTTAAGTTGAATGAATTGTTGTGGTGTGCAATACTCAGGGATGCCAGTTTTCAGGCAATAGCCTGAATTCAGGCCCTGGCAAGTTATTTTCAGACCATAGTTTAGGCTTTTTTGTGAACAAAATAGCTCATTCTAGGTGATTTTCAGGCCCTCTGACCAATTCTTATGTGCATCCCTGAATAGTGCAATTATTTATATATTTCATTTTTTTTATTGGAGCGTCAGTTTCCAAAAAAAGAAACCGGGACCTGATGGCAACGGTCGGGATTCGATGTGACAGACCGTACCAACTAAGGCCTATAGTGCACAACAAGCACATACCTGGCACCTGAACACTATGTAGCACAAGCCCCTAAATACACTTCAATTCCTGATATAAAAGGAGTTAAGAATTAAAATCAATTTCATGTAAAAACACATTAAGTTAAGTTTAATATCTCTTTTATGGTGATCGTATCAAATAAAATGAAATTATGGAGAAACCCAATGGGCATTCTAAGCCAGATCACCTGAGAATGGATATCATAATATCAATCTTTACTGTTTATTGCGAAACATGGATTAAATATTATAACTATTATAATTTGAAATTATTGATGAATTAGTAGAAGAAGTAAGTACTCATAATTTACTTCAAAATTTTGGAATTGTTTAATTATTTTGCTTGTTCTTAAAAGATATTTTTGATAAATGTTCCTAACATTTTACACATGATCATCAATCTAATTTGATTTTACTAAGATATTATGAGTTGGAATAATTTCAATGGAAAATTTTGCTGCAAAATGCAAAAGCATACGCTGATTGTGCACTAATGCTCTTAAACTTGCTCTCTTTGTAACATATTTGAGAAATACTGGTAGTACGTTTAACATCAATGATCATAACCAATTTACTTGGCTAAGCTAAACGCTAAGTAAAATACTGACATAATTCAAGTATAATTCAGGCCCAAGTGGGATGCCCCGCTGCAGATATTTGAAATCAGTGTATATTTGTAGACTTTAGTTTGGACCATATCATGACAAGTCTGGAGGAAATCGGTGGATAATATTCTGTCAAGTTGATCTATACATATGAGATCCGTGCAGCTGCCACAGGCTTGTCTAATGGGTACCCATCCCATTATTGATACGTAGTGTACAATATTTTTCGTTTGCCACAACTCATTCAAATTTGTAGGTATTATTTATTTCATACTTGGAAAAAATAGATAAATAATTAGATAGAATAAAAGCAAAAGTTGCAGTTATATTGATCTTAGAACAATACTTGTACAAGAAATACTTTAATTTTGTTTGGAAATCTCCAATCATGTGAGTAGAATTTCAGGTCACTAAGTTAATGTCAAAGGTCATTTCAGGTCAACAAACTTAGACTATGTTGTGGCATCACTAAAACACTTAACCAAAGATTAAGATATTTAATTTTTAACATAATTTTGAAGTACTAATAATGAAATGATATAGAGTATTTGTAATGTGCCAACTCCACATGACTAATGTGTTCAAGGCGCAATGGAGAATAAAAACAACAAGTACACAACAAATGAACAACAATGTGAGAGTAAATCTACTGGAAAGCTGCTTTGAACAAATGAGTTTTGAGGGCATTATTAAAGGAATCTACACTCAAAGTATACATTCCTCTTCCATATAGAACTTGAACTTACGGGTTATCAAGTATCACCAATCATGTGATTAGTCTTAGTCAAGGTCAAATGTCATTTCAGGTCTGCAAACTTAAATTTTGTTGTGGCATCAACTTCAAGATTTTGAATTTTTAGCATAATTTCTAGAGTATTTGTTCAAATTCCATGAAATTTGTACTCAAGGGTTATCACGTATCACAAATCATATGACAGAAATTCCGGGCCACAAAATCAAGGTCACGGGTCATTTAGGGTCAGTAGACTTGGATTAGGTTTTTACAACTACCGGTATATGAGAATTAATAAATCAATTTTTGTTTTTTGTTAATATTTCATTAAAGTTATCAATCTTGGTCCAAATAATAGTAAATAATTCTTCTAATAATTCTTAGTCAATATTCACTTCAAAATGCTTTATATTCAGAGGATTTCATTGGGGGGGGGGGCTGCTAATGGGCCACCCTACCTATAAATAATGTCCCAACCTCAATTTTCCATCGTATCGAATTGCGTAATTGAGAGGTGGCTAGTTTGTGTTTTCTGACAGCGTTATACGTGGTTGTATTTTCAATTTTTCTACTGAGAGCATTGTGGTCATTAACTCATATTTTTTAACATAGAGTTAATGCCTTTCTGACCTTCAGCAAGTGAACTGCACTTGTGGTAATACCACATTAATACTTGCTATTTTCAAATGCACATGACTAGAAATAAATCAAAATCAAAATGAAATTCATTTTAGAATCTGTTTCTTTTGTGTCATACCAGAGATCTCAAAACAGCGAATATCTTTCTCACCAAGGAGGGTGTGGTCAAGATTGGTGACTTTGGTATCTCCAAGGTGTTATCATCTAATAATCCAGGAGCTAACACTGTGCTTGGCACACCATACTACATCTCACCAGAAATAGTGAGTGAAAGCTTTACATGTATCCTTTTTCATTCCTTTATGCCTCCTTCCACCAAAGGTGGTGTGGGAGGCATTATGTTTTGGGGTTGTTTGAATTCATTCCTCAAACGACTTGAGATATTGCGATAACAACTTGTTATCGCAATATCTCAAGTCGTTTGAGGAATGAATTCAAACTTATGCAACTTGCAAGTACATGTATGTATCACAATAGGGAGATAAACTAATCAATTTTCAGTATGCTTAAAGCTGTTTGAGCTGCTAGCCCATTGAGGTCACGGCCGATGTGCATGCGTGTGGTTATGGTAGCGGGTGTCTCAAATGATGCACGACTACCACACGATCTTGGAACTCTTTGTTTTTTCTTGTGTTGTTGGGTGTATATTCGGATAGTGGAAAAAGTGATATTTGTGTAAGCAACTCAAATAGTTCAAATATTCCGATATTAGTCCAAGGAAGATAAATTCTAATTCCAGATTTGTTGATTTGGTCAGGTTTGCTGTTTACATTGTATGATAACTAGAGGAAGAATACTTCCAATGCAGATGACTTCAGTCGGTAGAGCAGTGGTCTCATAATTCGGTGACCCGGGTTCGAAACCAAGGCGATGCGCTAGTGCCCTTTGGTAAGGCATTAATCCTCATTACCAGGTCCCTTGGAGAGGACCTTAAGCCGTCGGCCGTCTGGTTGCTTACTAACAAGCATTTATGCTTACTTAGCAGTCGGGTAAAATAACCACCACCACAGTATTAACATCAGAATGCACATTCTTGACAAAAAGACAAGTTTCAGATAATGCATCGATCTGTGAATATATTCAAGATCAGTCAAAATGTACTTAAAAAATAATGTTCTCAGAAAATGATGTTCTTAGAAAATGATGTTCTTGAAAACCTCTGAAACTATTGTACTTTGCAAATAGGATGAGATATAGGTAGGATTGAGAGCATTTAAACAAAATATTACATGAGCAGTATTGGAATGCTCCCCAGGGAGTGGAGTGTGCACACATTATTTGCGGGCAAGCACTGAATCCAATGACCGGGGTAGTAGTATATTTGTAAAGCGCTTAGAGACATTTTATTAAGCGCTTTATAAAAGCTAAATATTATTACCGGTATTATTATTAAAGCCCTGATCTCTAAAAAATATGTATGTAATTCTGCTTAATAAGTGCTGTTGTAAGAGTTTGCCTGTGTATGATTTGTCCTTTGCAGTGTGAGGGGAAACCATACAATGGCAAATCTGACATCTGGGCACTGGGTTGTATCTTGTATGAGATGGCTTGCAGACAGAAGACCTTTGAAGGAACCAATTTACCTGCTCTTGTAAATAAGATCATGAAGGTAGGACATAAAGGCCCCAATTCACAAAGGAGGTTTAAATTTAACCCATGGTTTAAATCTTCATCTGCATAACCCATGGTTTAAAATTAGCGTAAAATAAGCGTGACAATATCAGACGCACGCAAGGCAAGGTACGCTTAGTTTGCGCTTAGTTTTAAACCATTGGTTATGTAAATGAGGGTTTAAACCATTGGTTTAGTTAAACCTCCTTTGTGAATTCCGGCCAAAGAAACTATGTATCAAAACTATGTATTGTGAACTGTTGGTTAGATGATGCATAAAACATGACAGAGAATCTACTGTAGTCCATACAGTAAGCTATGCTTCTTGGTGTAAGTTATGTGTTCTACATATCATATTAAACAAATTTGATTATATTCATCTCAGGGTAACTGCTTTTTTATCTGCGTCTGACAGATCGATGAAGTCAAGGAGTGAAACCTCATATCTTTTTTTATAGATCTATCACCTTTTGAGAACACTGAAACAACCCTAACCAATTTAGTTGGGGCTTCTGAATGTAAAACAACAATTATAATTCAGTATATGAATCTACTATAGGAGTGCAGAAATCAAGTGTAACAGTTAAAGCTATTTAAGGACCCAGCTTTGGCACTTGTAAAATTATCAGTTATCGAACTGGATTTCTGAATATGTATGAAAGCTGTGTATACGCTCTGTGTTTAGAGATAAGAAGTATTACACTGCCCCTGCTCTTTTTTTTTTTTTTTGGAGGGGGGGGGGGGTATTCAAAGTGTTTTGTAATTACATGAAAATACAAACCTGTGTGCAAAGACTAGTTTCATTGTAGAGTCTTCGGCTATACATAAAGGTCATGGAGTTGAATACAGTGTTGCTGATGCTGAGGGGTGGGGGGGGGGGTGATTATTACAACAATACCAGTGGCTTTCAGTTCTTCTTTGGGCTGTTTTGTAACAGAACAAACTTACCCTGACTGTTTTCTAATATTTAATATCTGGTTTTTCAGGGTCAGTTCACGCCTGTTAAAGGAAACTTCAGCCAAGAGTTCAAGTCTTTGGTACAAGACATGCTTCAAAGGGAACCTGAGTATAGACCCTCTGCCAATGCCCTCGACTTCAATCACATTCCCGTGCTCATGGAAAAGTTCATTGACCTCACAACAGATGTAGATGATGAACTGGCCGCCTCTACAGACAGTTCTCACAGGAAAAGAACAAGGTATCGTTTTGTTTTATTTATTCTGAGAGATCTATTGCATTCTTGCTTATTAAATCTACAAGATTTCCCACCAAAGTGTATGAGAGAGGTATAAAGCAAGATATTCATCTTATATTATACAGTTTCTCAACTTGACATGGGCACCTCCATTTACTTGATAATCATGATGTACCATGTGAAGTAAAAGTATTCAAATGTATGGATACTCCTTCCTACATGTGTGTGGTGATGAAGTATTTTATTCAACCGCGATTATCTTTTGTACTATGATTGTCAGAATGCAAATTGTATGAATAAGTTGTTGCTCTTCTGGCGTGAAGGCTTCGCAGAAATGAAATGGATTTGTCAACTGCTGTAATTTAATATTTTTGAATAAATGAGTTACAATTGTTCCCCTGTTCATTTTTCCAAAAAATTTAATTTTTGCCATCTCTGCTACGCCCATGTCATTCTATTACATCATGACAAGAATATCTTCATTTATATGTCTCTTATACATTTTCATAAGGAATATTTTACCTCAATAGGCATGAATAAATTGTATCTTTTAGCATACTTACACTTTTTCATTGGTGTGAGGTTTCCTTCAATGTATATTGAAGCGCATTTGAACATTTATATGGAAAGTGCGCTATATAAATACATCATTATTATCGTATCCCCCGGCAGTATTTGCCGGTGGGGTACTTTGGATTCAGCAGCGTTACGCCGCTTCCGCCGCCCCTTCATATTCTTGTGTGCGCTCTAACTGCCACATTCTTGACAGAATTTTTTCAAATTTTGTATGGAGGTTATCTTGGTATAATCTACACACCTATATTAAATATATATTAAACCTAAATTATGTACCACAACTACATATTCTGAGATTTTCCTGGTCGCAGCTTCCATTGTACGGCTTAGGAGCTATTTGAAATTCATCAAAATTTACCGGGAGCACCGGTAAATCTTTATATTCAATTTTTCTCGAAAGCAGAAGTGTTTTAGGGGCTAAAGATTCTAGTGTTTTTAATACATCCACAGGGGCATCCAAATATATCAAAATTGTAAAGAATCACTATCCACCCATTTTTCAAAATTTCCCAAAACTTTGTAATACCTTTAAGCCTTTTCTAACAAAGCAAAATAGCTACAAATGGTGCTCTTTCTTTTTGATAGGCACTATTAATTAATATTGTCTGCTGTGGTATATCCTTCTTTACACAGTTAATGCCCTTGTGATGCTCAGGAGATGATATAAGTATACTGCATACATCATGTGTGTATCTGTAGATGTAATGATTTACTTGTGAAGTAAAGGAGTCATATAAATGCTAACCATTGCTTCGTTTTGGTAATGAATGAGTCTTGATTAATATGTGGAATAAGTCGTTGGTAAAACAAGTTGGTAAAGAAAAAAGGCTAATATCAGTTTAATTAATGGTCAAATGTCATAGAGGTCAATTTTTGATATTAGAAATATTTCCCTTGTTATCACATCAGACCTCTCAACCTTTTCGCTTTTGACCGGAAAATTTCCGCTTTATTTTTCTTTTTCCGGTTTCTTCTTTTATTTTCCGCAAAAAAGATAAAATAATACATTGGTAAAGAAATACATGTATTTGACGATAGATGGCAGCAATGCGGAACTAAAAATTACAATCTTCACAATGCATTACAATATATGATGTAAAGTGAACAAGTGCTTGTGTTATATGCACGGTGTGTGATATCAGTCATCGCATGGAGCTTCGGTGAATCGCGATGCCATTTTCCTGGCAGTCTCAATCCTGACGATGATCTAAAAATGACAATAACAACACTAATAAGTAATTTATGAAGTGTATTTTTGATACTGAGATACATTTGTTGTTTTTATGTTGTAATGTATCATCTAGCGAGTGCAGTTACACTTCCACTTCCAACGTCGACTGGAGTGAAGCCCTGCCCTGCTTACCCATCGGGGCCGGTAACCATAGTAACTTTTTGAATGTGTAAAAAGTGCCCGGGATTTACAATAATCATAAAACTGCACACAACTTTTTTCTTCCATATCCAGGTCTGTGCTATATCAGATTGATACATCCCTGCCTGGAATCCCGCCTATCCCTTTCAAAATTGAACTGCCTACTATACTCAAGATAAGACAGGTCAGTGGAATTTATAGTAACAAAAGCTTGTATAAAAGTGGAAATAGGCCACACCCTTTGCGATATTTTTGTCTTTTTTATATTTTATAAACATGTCCTATTTCAGTCAAATTTATTTCATTTCTTTTCTTTATTTTTTCTGTTAAAACAATCTGAGCTGGTTTACTTCATGTATAGAATATGTTCTGCCCTTATAGGTTGCCGTCAGCAGGACTCACATTGCCCTTGTGACCTATGAGAGGGTAGTGTACAGCTGGGGGGAAGGGAGCAAAGGTCAATTGGGTCACGGTGACCTTGACCCAAGGAATGTACCCACCTCGGTTGAAGCTCTCAAAGGAAAATCAATCACAAGGTAAGATTTCTGTTCCGTCAAATTAATTGAATTTTAAAAAATCCTTAATTGATTTGTTTCAATTATATGCCTTGTGCCTGGTATAACAGAGTCCTCAAAATATTACTCTTAACCATCCAAATTATGTAATAACAAGTTGTTATACCATGACAAAAATATTCCCTAAGGTTGTCTACAAATGTCACATATGCCATGGTAACCTGCAGCATTTTGTGTGTGTCTGTGTTACAATTGAATGGCAATTAAGTGGGGATGAAAAAGGGTACTATAGCTGTGCACATCAAAGGTTCTACACCTACTCAATTGAAGCATGCTATGCTTAACCCCTCCCCACATTACATGTATGAGAAGGAGCCCTTTTTTCCTTCTTTTTTAAAACTAATATACCATCAATATCAGATACCCATTCATACATCTTCATTCTTCTTCATTTTAAGACATAGTTTTATGTAACTTCTTTATACAAATTCTTAAAACGTGGTAATGCTAAGCTTTGTTGCAGTAAACGAATGTCTTTTATCTCTGTGCATGCTGCATATATGGCATGGTTTTGTTTTCTTTCCATTTATGAGGTCAGGTTGGTGAGAACACTGTTTTATCTTATTCAAAATCAGATTGTGTTATCTTGAAGACAGATTTAGTCCTTGCTGTATCTCTTTCTTTTCATTTTTTAATAATTTTCAGAGTTGCTTGTGGAGCAGGATTCAGTGTGTTTGGCAGTGACAATGGCATTGTAATGACATGTGGAGATGGTTCTACAGGTTGCCTTGGACATGGTGATTACCACAGTGCTTCCCGACCACGTCTCATTGAAACACTGCTCAGGTTAGATATCACTACATGGAGTCACACAAAGGATAAAGATATAATGCTGTTGGACCATTTAAAGTGAAGGCACTTCAATAGTTTATAGAGATTCTTCAAGATTCAAGAGATTTTAATGTTTGATTTTAAAGCAGGTGACATGTTAGCAATTTATTTACTTCCAAAACTGCTCTTATCATAGTTCTCTCCTCTTTAAATGAGTTATTTTGGCTGATGTGATACAATTTACCCTGAACTATTTTCTCATTTATTAGTTTCATGCTTAATCTTATGTACATCATTTAGAATTTGTTTGTTTCATGTTCAACCTGATTTTGTTTGTTTAGTGTGGATGTTACAAGTATCTCATGTGGACCTGAGCATGTGGTGGGAGTAGGTGTAGATGGAGAGATCTTTGCCTGGGGGAAGGGCAAAGATGGAAGACTGGGACTCGGAGATGAAGAAGATTTGTAAGTTTTTCACAAAATTTCACTTCAAAGACATTTTTTGGAAATTTAATCTTAACAGCAAGTTTCTGTGACACGAAGCAGAAAATTCAGAGAAGCAGATAGGTGTAAGTTTAAACGAAATAGGACAAATAATAAGAAAGTTATGAATTTTATAAACTCGTAATAAAGGGGGGAATTCAAATCGGCTATATCAGGAACAAAAATGTTATTGTTTAATAGCAGAAAGCTCCCCCTTTGATTCCAAAACTCAAAACAAATATGATATCAACTTTTAGAAAATATGTTACACTGTAGGATCTTTTCCTTTTTGGAGGACCTATAGAAATTTGCTATCCATAAAATATTTGAGTACAGCAAGGTGCTCATGATAGAACAGGAAATTTGTGTTATTTACCAAAAAAACAGGAGAGTTGTCTATGTATATGCAGAGATGCCAACCGTTATGGTTTCAACGTATTTGTTATGGTTTTAATGCTCTTGTTACAGCGTTACGGTAAACAATCAAAAGGTTACGGGGAAACGATAAATAAAAGTTTAAATGAAAACTATGATGATTCAGGCCTACTTTTTTGTTTTATGAAGGTAAAAATTGTAGATACCAATACTGCCAGTTTCAAGCAGTGAAGACACTTAATCAAGCTCTTTTGAAAATCTTTTCCTTGCATTGCCTGATTTGATTTGATTTAGCTGTGAACCTATGGAGGTGACCCTTCGTGACCCTGTATTCATCCAAGAGGTCAAGTGTGGCGTGGATGGTACAATGTTTCTTACAGACATGGGCTGCTTGCTGGCTTGTGGCAGTAATGCCTACAACAAGCTTGGACTCAACCACAGGCAAGGTTTCTTGGCATCCATGAAGAACATGTTCACAAAGGTGATTTTGTTTATATTATATCTCTATATTAATTAACCCTAAAAGAGACTGGGCTGTTTAAGAGGTTATGAGTAAGGGAGACTTAAAGGTAATACAAAGTTTTGGGATGGGGTCATGAATTTGGTTCAAATGAACATATTGGAAGCATATGCGATCCTAAAATATTCAGGGATCATTGTTACGGTTGAAATCGAGTCTAAAGTTATGAAATTGTAAATAATAAACTCTTTATCTTATATAGCTCCCTCTCAAGGTCAAGATATTAATTAAGCTATAAAACAATGTTTCTTGACTAAAATCGACCAATTAGCTATTCCCGTTTGGAAATTATATACAGGCCTGATAAAAACCCGATTTATTTATTTTTTCCCGATTTTTTCCTAATTTTTTTTTTCTTCCCGATTTTTGTTTTCTTGTTCCCTCTTTTATCCTGATTTTACTGATTTCCCTGTTATTTTCTCTAATCTTCCCTATTTTGCCCTATTTTTTTCCCAATTTTCTTACTCGAAAGGGGGGAATGTTGTTCGATGCCATTTTTTCCAAAGCGAATCCCCTTCTCTTTTTTTTACTCAAGGGGGGCGTGGTGGAGGGGAAAACTAAAAACCCTTTTTTTTTAGTGCTCACTATCACCCCTGATGTATAGAACTAAATAAAAATTTACTGGGAGCACCGGTAAATTTTTATATTCAATTTTTCTTGATAGGAGAAGTGTTTTAGAGGCTAATTTTTCTTGTGCTTATAATACATCTACAGGGGCATCCAAATATATCAAAATTGTAAAGAATCACTTTCCACCCAATTTTCAAATTTCCCAAAACTTTGTTTTACCTTTAATGCTAACCAAAATTTCATACAGAATGATATTACATCATCAAATTTTGTTGATTGCCAAACAAGGTAGCAGCAACTCCAGTCTTTTAACCTCTTTTGGTATGACGCAAACGGGGTTCGAACCCACAACCTCTCGGTTGTCAGATAGACTGAATTAGATAGACTGAAGCCATTTTTATGCCTCTGTTACAAAGTAGCCGAAGGCTTAATGTTTTCGAGATTCCCTACTTCCTGTTCTTGTGATTCTGTATCTCAAGAACCAATTGATGGATTCCTGTCAAACTTAAGTCATGTATGTATCTAGCAGAGCCAATAAACTGAGTAGTTTTTGCGGTCACGAGGTCAAAGGTCACAGGGCTCATTATGTATGCAAAAATAGCTTGTGATCACATTATCAGATCCGATAGACATATTACCATCAAACTCAGAACATGTATGTATCTTGCTGAGCAAATAAATTGATTTGGGGTCATGAGGTCAAAGGTCAAAGATCAAAGGGTCATACATGTATATGAAAAAAAGCTTGTAATCACGATATTCTGAGAACCTTTTTATGGTTTACATTCAAACTTGAATTTTAAAAATTTCTTCTGTTTTGGTTGTAAAATGACTCTATGGCGGAGGCATCGTTTTGGACTGTACGCATTCGAAGGTCCATCTAGTTCAATTCTGTATCAATTCCTATATTTCATTGTGTTTTTTCTTGTTTTATGAGTTATATTCAGATGAATCATGAGTTAGACGCTAGTTTATCACAAATTGGAAAACAGTTATTGATTTAAAGGGCAAAGAAGAAAATATAGTATTTCAATAATTTTTTTAACAAAAACTATAATTTCTCTGTATTCAGGGTGACGTGGGGTTGCATTTCAAAAGATAACATGAGTTCACAACAGTACACTTGATTTGATTTTGAGAGAGAGGGAACAATGACCCCCCCCCCCCCAGTCTTTTAAGGGTAAATTATGTCAATCTTGTGAAATGAGTGAGATCAAATTTACATATCTCACCACCTTAATACATCTGAACAACTTTTCAGAGTACAAATAATATAGTCTTATGTTGAAAAACATTTGAGAGTTCCTTCAAGTATACCAAAACGAATTTGAAGTCCAAAATATGCATCATGGTTTTCACACTAGCATGACTGAACATATGACTACCGGTAACCCTGTAAGTTGGGGCTTTGATCGGATCGGAAGATCGGAGCGACACCCTCGCACCTTTGATCGGTATCGACAAAAAAATTGGCAGAATATATTTTTTTTATTTTTTTTTTTTAATGCCAAAAATGTTCAAGTTTTGGGCTTTAAAAAAATTCTATACAATGTTTTAGAGCATCATTTTCAAATAGAATCAGCTATCGAACAAAATTATATTTGTCTTTGTTTACTCCTAGACTGAGGTGGAGGGAAGGAAGGTTCCCACAGCCGTGAAAGCTCTGAGCAAGTTCCGTGTGCTTGACATGGTGGTAGGACCCCATCACAGTGCAGTGGTAGTAGAGCCAGGTCTCGTCTACATGTTTGGCAAAAACCAGCATGGTCAACTTGGCTTTGGTAACACAAAGCCCAGGGAAGCCCCAGCACAGGTTCAAACTATGGCTGATAAACTCATATCAGTAAGTCCTTGTAGAAGAATATTGTTTGCTCAAAGCTAAAAAGGCAATAAATATTTTAAAGGATTGCATTTAGGCTCTGAGTAGATGGTTTCGTCTTTCATAGTATTTCCATACTTATTTTTAAATTTTGAGGGTAAATCTTATACGTATTTTTATTTCATTTGATAATTTGTTAGTAAAATCTTTCATGTTCTTAAATGTGTCAATTATACCTGTTCATTAAGATCTCTTTTTTGTGAACTACAATATAACTTTTATAAATATTTATTGATCAGAAGGTAGTTAATAGAGTGCATTGCTTAATTAACACAATGTAGATTACACATGAATTGTCAAGATTGAAAGATACATAAGGCATGGTACAGTTCCAAGCTTTGAAATGGTTTATGTCATTCAGGGAGCACTTGCAAGATGTTTAGTTGGAGGAATTTATAGCTGGCAAAATTTGTAAACAAAAAGGAATAAGGAATTTACATGTACATTGTAAATAGAAGTAGTATTTGGACCCAAACTATTAGTGACTGCTCCTTTAACCGAACCCTATACACAAAGACCTAATCTACTTACCTGTAGTTTTAGATAGTTTACTAGTTTCCACTTACCAGCTCAATACCTCATGTTTTCAGTGTATGTTTGCTAGAATACCTGTGAAAGAAATGTTATGTTGCAATTAATGCCCAATTTACCTCCAATAAAGATATCCCTGATTCTTTTCCCATCAACTAATTCATGCATACATCATTACCTTCCTTCATGAATTCCACCCTTAGACTGTTGCATGTGGAGAAGACTATACAGTAGCAGGAGCCATGGATAATTTCCTTTATTTGTGGGGCAAAGGATGGTTGACTTCAGATCCAGGTAATGACAGTACCCAAAGCAGTCTGGAGCTCAGCCAGCCCAAAGGTCAAGAGGCCAACAATGGTCATAGGTCACTGGGATCAACAGGCAGTCTGAAGATTCCAATGGATGTGATTATGGAGTCCACAAAGGACGATGTGGAAAAAGCTGACTCCAGCTGTAAGTCTCACTTTTGTTTTCTTGATTTTTGCCTGGCTTTGTTATAGCAAGTTACCCCTACGTGTAGGCCTGAGCTTTCTATCAAATATACTGTCATATTAGAACCTTTCCATTGCAACTTATGAAATATCTTTCTCATAAATATTGTGTATAGATTGATTAAATATTGGTAGTGAAAAGCATAATAATGAATTAACTGAATTGAGCTAGCGCTATATTATTGATCACATTCAATACTCAGATTGTCAGGTTACAAAACTTGCAAAATGCTGCTGCTGGCATGTTCACTCTTTCCAGGAAACAGTCATATTATTCCTATCCTTAAAAAAAATCCTCACTTTCTACTTAATTATTCAGGATAGCTTATTAACTGTCTCTCTCTAAAATGCATATTCATAGCAAATTAATGTTGTTAGCAATTAAGATGATCAAAAGAGATGGTTAAAAGAAATATATATGTTTACCCATATTACACATGAAATGTAGAATAATACCCACTGGGGAAAAATATGGGGAAAAAAGAGAAAGTAAAAAAGAAAGAAAGAAGGAATGGACACTTTTGAATCATAAACTCAAAAGTTACAGCTCTCGTCAAAATTAAGTTTGCATGATTGTTAAATTGAAGGGTGTAGAATTTATTTATAGGAAGTACGTATATGTATCCTTTCTGAATAACACAATTTTCTAAATGATATTTTGAAGACCAAAGAAATTATATGTGTCAAAATAGAAAGTGTTTTTGAACCAATATGATCAAGTCAAAACACAAACATACTATTCCTTTCACAGTCTAACAATACCTTAAATTACCAGAATATGTATTAATGGCACATTCTCTTGTGTGCTTTTTATCAGCTCCAACTGAAGACTCCTCTACACTGAGTGCTGCAACTACTCCAAGAGCAGAAGGTAGCTATTGTTATTGTTATAACTCCACTTTTATTTTTCAATTCATAAGTATTGTTACTGCAACCAATAATTCCTCTCAAATATTGTTCATGAATTGTTATCACCCACATCAAAGGAAATATTTTTTATATTAAAAGAATTCTATTAATATGGTTTTAGTTTCTCTTCATGATAACCTTTTGAATTTATTTCTGTCCGCACTCTGACAATTCTGATTGGCATGTAGTTGCAAAGAGTGCACCAGTAGGAGGAAGACAGAAGCGTCCTGATAGTACAGACAGTGTGTTTCTTCCAAATGGAGAGAAAACAAGCTACAATGCTTCCCTGATGCAAGGATAACAGGTACCTACACTCAATCTTCCTGTCATGACTAAAGAAAATATCATATGTCTAGAAAAACACTTTTTTTTTTGTTTTTTTTTTGTTGCTCCCTTGAGCAAGATTTTTTATTGAGAACCAAGAAAGCTTTATACCAAAAAAAAAAAATGTTTTAAAGTTAATGTATTGGGAATGTCCAAGGCAAAGTGCAGGATATGTCTGACTAATATTACTATATACCGGTAGATGTATTTATGTTGGAGAGCTATAGACTGGTCATAATGGATTCTAAATAATTTTCATGGCCATCATTTAGCTAACAGGATATGACAGCTTATTTCATGTGTTGTAACCATGAGCATGTACAGGGCTACACAGACTAACCATCTACATAGTATTGAATACATAAATGATATACTACCTCTTATGTATTATTGATCTTTTAATAATCTTCTTGTGTACGAGAGTCTTGTCACAAAAACCTCTTCTGGACATTTCTTTTCAATTTTTTTTGATGTGAATAAGGAAAGAAAGTTTGACTACCATATTGACTAGTAAATTTGGTAGCTTGATGGAGGGAAATAAATGTACATGACCGGAATACAGAATGGATAAAATATCTGTAATTATTTGTAATAACTGCATCTATTCATGAATTAATTTACACACATTTAGTGAAACTAAAGAAATTTGCGAAATATAATTTTTTTGTTTATTGTTATCAAGTATATATTTGTAATATTCTGAATGCTGAATACTTGCTGAATGTCTTGATAAAAAGCAAAATCATGCCCCGTATAAGCTTAGAGTCATAATGCCTGTACTTGCAGTAATTTGTGCCGACTCGGTCATTGCTTGCATGCAAACAGCTGTACCCCTCGTCTGGCCAAAAGAAGAGCTTATAACTGAACAGGCACTGCAAAGTGCCATCAAATCTGGTAAGCTTCATCACATAGCTTGCTTACATCACCATTTCCATTGCTCATGCAACAAGATGCCTTTGTAACCTGTCATAGTTCAGAAGGAGAAGGATGTGACCCAAATCACTAATTATGATCATGTCTCTTGTTCTCAATTGCTGTTGTATTGATGTGTGCGAATGGTCATTAAATATTGTCATGGGAAAGCAGACATCGTGCTGGCAGAAAGAAAGATTGATTGTCTTAATCTTTTTTATGCCTCCATTACGGATTAGCCGGAGGCATTATGTTTTCGGGTTGTCCGTCCGTTCCATTCTCGTGATTGCGTTATCTCAAGAACCGATTGATGGATTCCTGCCAAACTTAGGTCATGTATGTATCTTGCAGAGCTAATGAACTGATTAGATTTTGGGGTCAAAGGTCACAGGGCTCATAATGTATGCAAAAATAGCTTGTGATCGCATTATCTCAAGCAATGATTGATGGATTACAATCAAACTTAGGACATGTATGTATCTTGCAAAGCCAATGAACTGATTAGATCTTAGGGTCATGAGGTCAAAGATCAAAGGGTCGTATATGTATATGAAAAATGGCTTGTAATCACAATATTCTGAGAACCTGTTAATGGATTACGATCAAACTTGAATTTGAAAAATTGCTTCCGTTTCGGTTTGTAAAATTGCTCTATGGCGGAGGCAGCATTTCTAGTTTATTATAAACATCATTCTTGCTATCAATAGTTGATGTATTGATGTTCTCCACAATGATCACACTTACAACATTGTAAAAGGGACCCAGTAGTACACAAATAGTTGAGAGGAAGAGGGACATTTCCACTTTGGACTCTGTACATTGTCACAATCTTTCATGCTCTTTTGATGTATTCATGTGTCTACTTCAGTATCGTTACCCCATGTCATAAACCTGCTTGTTACTATGGACAAGATGAGCGCATTTTTATAGCTGTTACGCATTATCCTGTTGCGGCATAGTTTTTTGAAAGAAGGATAGTTGGGCATAAATACTTCAGGTGGTGTAGTAACATTAACAAATCAACATATTTTAGGATTTCAAAAGGCATTGTATCACTTAAATCCCTTTTATAGCTGCTATGAAGTCGCGATCTTTATAAATTATAAATCCCTTTCATTTTCAATTGTTAAATGTGACCCATCATGTCATAATGAGACAGAAGTCGCATTTTATCAAATCCTTTTTTATGATTGACTATGATTTTCCATTTCATAAGCTTTTAATGTAATGTATAGCTCAACTTTAGAGACGGGTTTTTAGTGAAGATAATAGCTTTTAAATCATTAGAGGAATAGGGTTTTAGAAAAGTATTTTTACAAGAAAAACACTGTCAAAGTTTGACATCCTTTTTGTCTTCAAGCATGAGCATTTCCGTTTACTGTTAATTTTATTTGAAAAAGGCCCTAGAAAAGCAACCACTTATTTTTCACAAATACCCTTATTTGCATGAGTTCTGGCCCAGTGACTTCTGTTGTAATTTGTTGTTTTGGGTCACATATTGCAAACCACTTTTAAAATGAATACAATTAGTTTATTTTCATATCTACTATTAGTACATGTATGTACCTTATTTGAGAAAGGAAATAAGTCTGTTTGACATTTAATGAAAATGAAGAATATATATATCTTTGAGCTTTTTTGCTCCTGTAAGGGGGGGGGGGGTACTCTGTTTTTTTAAAAATCTGTGCAGTTTGATGGATATTAATATTGTCATGTAATCACAGAGTTGTTGTCTGGGTAGAGTTTCATGTTTCTGAAAACAATGTGTCTTTATATACAATTTTTCTGAGTTGATTGTTTATATTGCAGTGGTTTGGCTTAGTAACTTTTGCGATATAACATATTGTGCATGACAGTGGCGGATCCAGGCAGGGGGCCCCCTCCCCTGAGAAAAACAACAGGTAAATACATGTTAATTTTACCTTTACTTAAAGAAAAAAGAAGACGGACCCAAGGGGGGGGGGGGCACGATTTTCATATTTTTAAGTGCTCACTACCCCCCCTCCCCCCACTCATTCACTGGCTGGCTATTTTGCCACTATATATTTTCACACGAATTGGCCCCCTCCCCTGCCACCAGCTGGATCCGCCCATGGTGCATGAAAAGGTTTGTTTTGTGTGAAAATTATTCTTGAAGGGAGATGTAGAACATGCTAGTTGGAATTCTATGGAAAAATACATGTAAGGGTATGTCACATACTCAGCTCTCATTTAGAAGTGAATTCATTTGGGCAGACATTTTTCTGCCATTTACATTTTGCTCTAGATTTCCTGCAAAATCTGGATTTTTACCTGTCTTATGCTGTATGACTGCTAAAAGCAGGCAATCTTTTGTATACAATCTGTGTTACATTCGTTACATTGTATAGCTGTTTGTTTTTGTTTTTGTCTGTGTTTGCTATTTTTACTGTGTTACGCACTAGTTCCCTACATTATACAGTGCTTTGAGAGCAGGTGCATTCGTGTGAACATTGTAATACATCGCACAAGTGTCTGTCAATTCTTGTGCTGACATGGTTAATTTATGCAGCATTATTTACAGTAATCCATATCATTGTGACTAACACCAGCCTAAGCAAGTGTTCAGGTTTTACCAATCCTATGCCCATATCTAAGCACACCTCATCACTACTCACCTAAACAAATGTTTAGTGAAATGTTCTAACATCAAATTAATGAAGCATGGCTCCTCATAGTCCTTTTGTCGCCAAGATCGTACATAAACTACCCGTAGGCTTACCCACAGATAAGGCACAATAATTGTTTTCCTTTCTTAGATTGCTATTCCATTCCCTGAAAATTGAACTTGATGACAGACATCAGAGAATATTATGTTGACATGGAACCACAAAATAATAATGTGTTATCCATTTGCAAGGGCTTTCCAGTACCAAATATGATACAAAGCTCTGATCATGTTGTCATCTCTTGTATCAAACCACCCATAATTAAGTGCTCAGTTTTATGTCCTTTTAAAGATCTACTGTCTGAGAGAATCAGGCAGATTTGTTAAAAGTTGGAAGATGGGGGTCGGTGGATTTCTTTTATATTTTGAAGGTTTAGTATATGCAGGGTATATCCTACAAAAATGATGATAGAATTTATTCAAATTATTTGCTTAAAGGTGGGCATTTTTTGTCAATAAAAAAATCTGGCCACAGAGGTGGTCTTGGAAAGGGTTGCCAATTTCTTCAATAGGACTTGACCAGGGATTTCAGTAATGGCTATTTTTGTTAATGCTTCTGAAGACTTCATCAAACTTTATGATATGAGCCCTGCTCTATTCTCTCAGACAGGAGCTCTTAAAATCTGATGTCCATCCCTCTTTCATCCATATTTTGAAGTCAATAAAAGGGTTATTCAAGCATTCCATTCATATATATCAAGTCACATTTGTATTATATTCGCATCATATATTTTTGATACTCTTATGTATGAATATTCCAGGATATCTATAGAATACATGAACAAAGATTTGTTCATACCTGTACGTAGTATCTTTATCACGGTTTGTTTCATTGCTCCCTTCAGTCACATATCAGCTGAAAAGATGTGACTGAAAAAACGTCTTGTATGCCCTCTGAAAAACTGCCTTCTATCGGCCTACGCAACTAACATGCCGGTCTTGTGCGCCTTCTGACAACTTTTCTGAAGGTGCACCAGTCCAATATTTTCTGTCTAATTAACTGTGGGTCTACTGGGATGCCCTGCTGCTGCCTCATCCTACTTCATTCCATAATCTGGTATTGTAACCTTTTCTTCATCTAGTTGGATCAGGTGGAGGTAATCGTCGTCACATGACCAGTGCTACCAGTCAGATGAGCATTGACAGTGTAGAGAGGTCTGAACTCTTCCTCCAGCCAACTCCTATACTCAAGTAAGTAGGAGATGTCTAATTTATTCCTGGGAATAATATTTGAACTATTCGAATATTCACCCAACAAAGAATACTGATTTTGACATTCAAATTGTTAAAAATTAACTTCTCGATGACTTTGGTATTTAAAAACATCAAGATATTACTATATAAAAGATTTTTTTCAATTTATGTACGGTATGCAAAACATTTCAAGACAAAACTAAACATCAGGTCATGCAAGTTATATTCTGTACTAATTGTTCTCGAACTCGAACTTACATTTAGACTAGGTACTGATAGATCTTGTTATTAGTGTCATTCAGGTTTTGCCAATATAAATATTTTTTAAATGTACTTTTAAGCAGCAATTTATGAAATTGTTGTCATAATTGAAATTCTTCTCTTGACCTGTTCCTCAGGCTAGGTTCAGAGGGTAATGACGAATCATATGAGCTCAGTCTCAGTCAAGTGTTCTGCCAGGGAGAAAACATCTTTGTTCAATTAGAAACAAGCTGTCCACTGCCTAGAAAGAAGTCGAAGAGAAAAAGAAGAAATTTCCTTCGAAAATTGTAAGTACTAAATTCTTAGTGTACCGAATCGAGTGTTTGGAATTAAGTAAACATGGAAAATAGTTGTTCATGTGGTGATTTTGTGTTATATTATATTTTACAGATGGGAGCATTGCAGCGAATGACAATGCTTTCTACCAACTAAGTAATCAACTTGCCCCCTAACCATTTATGAGTATAACTATCAACATGATACATTGCTGTGAGAAAAGATATTTATCAATGATTAAGGATTTCTCATAGATATTCTACTTACATGTACTTATTTTTCAGAAGCTATAAACCAAAAATAGAAAAATATTACAAAATCAACAAAGAAATTGTTTTTATAGCACACTCCCTTAAGTCCATGTGAGGTACTATATACATGACCTAATACTATTTTCACAATCTTCTTGTTTCATTATATCTTAATGCTTATGCAGGAGCAACAACAGCCTTCTCAATTCTGCAAACAGTACTGGTCAGCCATCTAACCTAAGTAATGATGCTGGAGATGAGTATACCAGCTCAGAAACATCAGAGCTTGATACTCAAGGAAATGTGAGAAATATGTAGATATGTTTGATATAATACACGATGCTATGTCACTCAAGAACATACACAATCAACACTGACACAGTAATCACCAATAAATACAAACAGTTCTCCTATTTCTCCAGAGTAGTTCTTATGCCTCCATTACCAAGTAGCCGGAGCCATTATTTTTTCAGATTTTCCGTCCGTACGGCGCTGTACGTCCTGTTCTTGTGATCACGTTATCTCAAGAACCGATTGATGGATTCCTGCGAAACTTGGGTCATTTATGTATCTTGCAGAGCAAATAAACTGATTAGATTTAGGGGTCACACAGTCAAAGGTCACGGGGCTCATTATTATCATCATCATCATCATCATCAGGACATGTATGTATCTTGCTGAGCCAATGAACTGATTAGATTTTGGGGTCATGAGGCTCATTATGTATGCAAAATAGCTTGTGATTGCATTATCATTAGAACCAATGGACGGACTACCATCAAACTCAAAACATGTATATATCTTGCAGAGCCAATGAACTAAGTAGATTTGGGGGTCAAAGGTCGTGGGGCTCATTATGTATGCAAAAATAGCTTGTGAACACAATGTCAATAGAACCGACCGATGGATTACTATCAAACTCGGGACATGTATGTATCTTGCAGAACCAATGAACTGATTAGATTTTAGGGCCGATCATGAGGTAAAATATCAAAGGGTCATACATGTATATGTATATGAAAAATGGCTTGTGATCAGAATATTCTGAGAACCTGTTAATGGATTTCTATCAAACCTGAATTTTTAAAGTTGCTTCTGTTTTGATTTGTAAAATCGCTCTATGGTGGAGGCATCAGTTCCATCTAGTTTTGATTAAGATGATTATTTTTTCTTTATCAAATGGAGCTCTGTTTACCTTTAACTGGCCTCCTGTGTCTGCTATTAAACTAGATCCCCACATGGCTGCAGAAGGAGCTCAAGGAATCTTTGGATGCTGCTGTGGATGAAAATGATGCAGATGATAGTGAGGAGGATGGTCTCAATGGAGGTCATTCAGAAGAAACCAATGCCAAGGAGGATGAGAAAGGGGTCAAACATGTGGCACATCTTAATGCCAAGGACATCAAAGGTTAGTAGAGGTAGAAGAGGATTAGGTCCAGACTGTCCAGACCTAAAAGCACATATTAATGGTATCTGCACTTGGTGCAGACTTCTTGACCTCCTTTAACAGGATGCTAGGGTGAAGACAAAGACCAAAATGGAAAGGGATTCTCTGTAATGTTTCCATTCTGCTCAATGCAGTTCAAGATATTTCCTTGTGCATGTGCTGTATGTTTTACAACAGAAAGAAAAAAATATCAGAAACAAATATGCATAGCAGATGCAACTTTTATTTCCTCCCCGGAATATGTATAAATTAACTGTCAAGACTTTTTTTTTTAATTATTGTCTTTCCCTGCCTAATTTGTAAAAACTTTAGTCGATTTCATCAATGTTCATTAAAGTTCCTGAAAAATTTGGCTGCTTGTTACTCCTGTGCTTTAAATTTGATTTTTTTTTTTCCCGACCTCAATTTCATTTTGTGTAAGTGAATTTCCTTATTCTTTACCTGAAAATTAGGACAAATTTCCTTCAAATTCGTAATTTGTTATCATCATTCAATATCAGAGAGTGCAATTGGAAGAGGCATTTTAATTCTTACTTTTTTAATTTGATTATTGCTGTATTCCATTTTTCTTTTCGTTATTATTAAAAGGGGCAGCCACTTTTTCATTTTGGTCATTCAGTTGAGAACAAAGTTCCCAGTCTTTCTCTTTGAGAAACTTTGCTTTTCACCATTTGATTCGAATTTTCTTTGCCCCATTTCCTTCATTTCACAATACACTATTCTTATTCTTCTGTATCTTTTCCTATTTTTAAATTGTGAGAATGATTGTCCTTCAAAGTCAAATCAAATTTGTATTCTCTTTCGCTCTGATTATTTCCTCTCTCTTTATCCATCTGTTTTTCTTCTCATCTCTTTCTATGTATCAGTATACCTTTACCTCTCAATTGAATGCCAGCAAAAATTGTTAATTTTTTTTAAATGCAAAAGAGCTTAATACCAGCTTAAAATAATCCAGTCATGGTGTCAATTCTTTATTGTCTGCATAATTGGACAACGGAACATAATTCCCTATCCCCTTTTTTTTTAACCGAGCCCTTCATATGTTGTTTAACACTGTCTAGAGATGTAAAGTTCATGGTTTGTCTTCTGTCACATAATTAATCTACATTTGCCACCCTTATCCCAAGAGTGGTAAAGTCAGATAGAACTTGTATCTCATTTTCATCAGCAATGTTTTAATGTTGATTTTAATTCTATTGCAGGGCTACTGCAATATCCAGTGTCCCTGATTATTATGGAGATTGACCTTGTAGAAAAGCTAATAATATTCAGTCTTAGAAAATTATGATAGATTCTGGTCATGTAGCTGATCAAGAGAAAGACACATATCAATTAGTTCTTATTGACCTGTTCATAGAGGCAGTTAAAACTTTCAAACATATCTTCTTCTTGTTCTATCCACTCAACAGCATACTTCAGGGCTTTGAAAGGTGACACATATTGAGTATATTTAACACTGCACCTCTCAACTGATATTCCAAATTTTGTATAGTACATGTAGTATTGATCATGTGAACAAATATTTTACAAAAAATGAACACATAAATTCTAATAGCCATTCACTTTTTTTCTTTGAAAAAAATTATTTGGTGTGCACTTCCATTTCATGTACTGGAAAGACAGATTTTTATGTGGTTCTTTAGCATTTCTTACATCTTTCCAGAAAATAAACTTTCTTCAGAATAGCTCTTATAGTAGTTATCTGTGAACTATGTTTCAAACTAAATATTGAAGGACAAAAAAAGGAACCAAAATCACTAAATATGCACACAAGTCCAAACTTCTGATTTGTATACACAACATATGTGCTCACATGATTCACCCTCACCTGTGAGACATGCTGTGATAAGATACTAATACTCACTTAATACACTGTGTGCTAAGTAATATTATCTTTTTTATATACCACAGAATTAATTTTGAGCTCAAATGTCACTGCTTTCTTTGACTATTTATCAATTGAGGAGCTAGACTTCTGTTTTTACAGATCATGGAAATTATCATTACAGCCTTTTGTAACAAATGTCATCGTTTGTTGAGAAATATAGGAACTCCAATCTTACTTTAATTGATCAATATCACACTTGATAGTTTTCAATTCTCTGTCATTTCTCTGTGGTGAGAAAATTGAGGGATTTTTATTGTAGATTTTTAAGAGAAAGTGACACCTATTACAAGAAATATTGTCCCAAAACAGTTTACATATTACTATAACCTATTTCTACATTGTGAGATAGTAAAAATTTTGGATGAATGAGATATGCCCAAATCCACAATAAAGAACTAAATCCCAAATATACATTTCTCACATTTCTCTCAGCAAACATGTGACTTAAAAGTGAAGGATTTTGAGAAAAAGTGAAGACATACCTATATTTCTCTAATGTAATTCTTGAGGGTTTTGTGAAATATGTGTAGTAGTGGATCAGATGTGCTTGGTTGACCTCCTGATATACAGGTATACTGTACAATAGAAGGGCTATTAAATGATGAAATTCAATGTAATTGTCCTCTTACTTTATGAGTTTGTTCGAAATCAAGATATGTCATGAGACATAGGCCGATATATTGTGATAAGAATTGTTCATTGTCGATATTAGAAACGGAATGCATAAAGAAAGAAATTTACCATCATACTTGACCTGCAGGCTACATCAATATGATCTTGATCTATGTAATATTATTCTGTCAAGTAAATATTTCAATTTCTATGTCTGCTCACTGCCTTTTTTCATGCAATTTATTCCAACAGAGTCAATCATATAATCAATGATTAATGCAAATCATATGTAATTTCTACTACCTTTTAATTTTTAGTTTAGTCAAACTTGTGTATTATGGCCAAGGAAAAGGGAAACAGGTGGCCTTTTCAGAGAGGTGACTGCTATTAAAGAGAGGTTTGCCTGTACATTTGTTATTTATAAAAATGTACATAATTATATACATATGACATATATTTTGCCCCTTTGTTTCCTAATCAATCTCATGTCTTTTTTTATGATAACAGCAGATCAAAGTAGAAAACCTGACCAAATAACGCGGAGGGACAGTAATACAAAGGTACAGTGTAAACTCTTGACTCCCTTCTCTGCAATTGAAATACATGTAACAAAAAATTGTCATTATTCCATATTTGTCAAGGATTGTAATAGAATTTGATAAATTTTGACTAAATGCAGTGTTTTGTATAAGTATATTGTGGCTTCACCGTGCAATGGAACAAATGGATCAAACAAAATTGCACTCTTGCATCACCATGCATACACATAAAGCATGGTACGTGCATGGTGTGCTGCCTGCTTAACAATATATTGCGCGCTCACTATCGGGAATTTCATCATTAAAAAAAAGTTGCTGAGATTTGGACTAGCTAGCCTAGGAAAATTGTTCTTTAAAAAAAAAAAATTGTTAAGTCCTTAAACGTCTGAGGTGTATAAAACAAGTAGTGAATGGTCTTTATTTGTGCAATGGAACAAGTTTTTGCATTCAATGAAATATGAGATGCTCTATTCAACTCAGCTGCACCTTGTTGGATAGAGTGTCTCTTATCTTTCACCTCGTACAAAATATTGTACCATTGCACTCATGGCCATTCACTATTTGTATACTACTCAACAACTACTCAATGACTGGGAGTCAGTGTGCAATATCTCTTTATAGAAGTAATATTTGAAGCTCTTACTTTGACTACAGTATAGCAACATGAAACCTTGCACATTAAGAGCAAACTGCAAAGTATGTTTTGGTGATTGGTAGATTTTAGCATAAATTCTGCACTTGTTTCTGTCAGAGAGGATATGATGGTCAGAACATTCCTGTATTGGTAAAGAAGGCTTCAGGTGAGATGCAGGTTATCACATCTCCAGAGAGTGGGGTAGATTTCAACACAGGAGATCCTATGTCCAGTGACTCAGGCTCAGAACTCAGGCAACCAAAAGATAGAATGTAAGTTTATATGGTGCTTTTTCATAATGAAATTGATTTTGAAGTTTGAACATTCCATTGGATTAAGTCCAAAAATGTTTTGCTTGGTGCATCTAAGAACTCCAGAATATTAATTGTTATTAATTCAGCTATGCTTGTATCATTCACAATTGTAGTCTCTTCTGCATACCAGTAGCTAGAGCAAAACATACATGGAGGAATCTGTTCTGAGACGGATGGTGACAGCATCAACATATTCAAATTCACTCTCATTTCAAAAGTATATGTGTATGTCCAAATAAGACATTGTAGAATGAATTCAGGTCAAGTCAAGACCAAAGTTAATTGCGACATTATGTTTAGTTTGTCTGTTATTACCACTTTTTGTTAAAATAATATGATTTAAATAAAGATACATGTTGTTACCCTCAGAAGGAAAAACACAATATTTGATGATATTGTATGTCTTATTCCTTTGTAGACCTGAAGAAGCTACCAAACAAGGAAAGAAGTTTGCTTATGTGGCCACAGCAGCTATGTAAGTTATTGTAATAAAGCATTTATGTGTCTTTTATTCACTTAATTGAGCTTGCATGCTTCTCTTAGCACTCTTCAAATGAGAAATAAAAAGTGTACAATTAATATTATTGTGACAAAAATACAACTTAGTTACAAGTCATGCATTCTCTTCAAGCTTTATCAAAGAAATTTTTCATGCAAGATTTAATAGTTTTGAGGATGACATGACTATGATATGAGTCTTGTAAAATACTACCTTTAACGCTCTTCTGCATACAAGAAAATGTTGAGTAATGTTCATATAGGATCATGAACTATAGGTTTTCATTTTTATTTGGGGGGGGGGGGGGGTTCATTGTAGTATGCTTGTTAGAGTGAGTTGAAAGCCATGTATAAACATTTGTATATCTAATTTATTGCATGACCTTGAAATGTGACATAATGCAATATGTGTTCAATTCTGTAAGCATTTTTCAACTGATTTATTATTAATAATATTAAGCAATCCATCTCTTTCAGACATGTATCGTAAAAGGAATTTTGTAAGGTTGATTGTTTTACCTCTCTAAAGATTGTCATAATTCTTCAAAAAATGTATTTGATTGTTGATATATTGGTTGCAGGCATGCAAGTAAAGTGAGTCCTTACAAGCAGCAGAAGCCTCCCGTTCCAGGTGTTCAGAGACAACTCAACAGGTTACGCATGGCTAGAGGCAGGGCTAGAACCAGGTATAGCACAACCATGTTCTTGTGATTGTATTAGTCTTTGCAGCAAATTTACAGGATTTCAAACTACTTTTACCTTTTGTTACTTTCTCATACCTGCCAACCACCCCGATTTAGGCGGAGTTCCTCCGCATTTTTCATACCAACTCCGAATTCCGAATGCATGCCTCAAAACTCCGATTTTTTTTTAATTTTTTAATTTTTTTTTTTTTTTTTTTTTTTTTTTTTTTTAATTTTTTTTTTTTAATTTTTTTTTTTTAATTTTTTTTTTTAGAGTGTAATGCACTTGGAGAGTATATAACTATTATGTTTGTATTTCGAAATGTAAAGCGCCTTGAGCATGTTCATGTAAAGGCGCTCAATAAATACCAATATGTATGTATGTATGTATAAGACTAAAGCATAACACAGCACTGATAACCAGATCACGCCAACATCCGCGCTCGCGCTCATAGAAGATATACACAGCGCAGCCCGAACGTGATCGTTAGTTCCCCCCCCCCCAATCTACGGGCTACTACCCCAATCCTTCGGTGGTTCGCGACCTCGTAGTCCATCCAGAAAAATTTACTCCTAATTTCTCGTCTCAGGTTGGCAGGTATGCTTTCTGGGTCTGCCAGATTATTTTCCTGGAACACGCTTCTGTAGAAACACCACTAGTGCGATCTCTACGTCATCCTTTTGTTTCGGGAGGGAAGAGGGGATCTTTGTCCCTCCTTCCAACATAAGGATGCCACAAAAATAGCTGCCAGTGCAGGGGGATACATTGCGCGGCAATACAGGTTGCAATATTTCTAGTTGTACTCTCCATACAGAAGTGGATTTTTATGCGATAAATTTTTAAGGACACTTTCCAGAAATCTGTTGTAATCAGTAAATTGCGTTGTATTTCTCACACTTTCAAATACATTTCCACAAAGTCCCCTCTCTGCCTAATAACAGGTACAAAATGGTCTCTAATTATTTTGGCTTATCGAGTACACATTTACAAAAATTACCCTTTCTAAAAAAAAAGTTACATGTGCATTCGCATTCCCAAAAGAACTTTATTATACAAGAGAGATACATACTGCCCAATGAATATTTTGTTTAATTTTTATTGAAGTACACATGTACAATAGTAAGAACAGTGTTGAGACAAACCCTTGCTGATCTTAGTTTTGTTTACAGTGTTACAAGAAAACACACAATGTTAATGGTGACGACCTGTTGGTGCACAGTGTAACTCAGGAGGAAAGAAAAGCTTTGTGACTATTGAATCCTGTCAGTGCCATTAATTCTCAGTGTTTTAAAGGCACTACAATACCATTTTAGGGCAGAGGCTTGATATCCTGCATTGTTATCATGAAATATTGCCTTTCGCAAAAGAAAAGAACTGACACCAAAATAAAGTAGCCTAGACATGACCAATCTTGATCTTGAAAAAAGTTCTTACATTTAATGCTTAAGAAGTGTATTGATGATGGTGTCTTTCTCCCTGTTTGAATACAGGTGTTACATGGGAAAGTTTCCAAAGGTTAGGTACAATTCCAGTCTGAAGAGAAGAGTTAAATAGAATACACAAGGGATGATCTATTTCATAGGCAACCTCTTTCAGTACTTTTGGGTGTTATACCATCTGGGCCTGGTGGTTTATTATCATCTTCCTTGACTGTTGAATAAAGGTACTTCAGAGAAAACTTCTACCCATACAATTCCTAGATGTCAACAAATGTGCAGGATCATGCCACAAATAAAGAGTGGAGGGCCTCTTTTAAAACAGCTATACAAGCCTAGAAAGGGACTAACAAAAAACAAATGGACTATAGATCAAAAGAATATTTAGTATTATATCCTGCATACTAAGAATCTTGCAATCTGATTCGTCTTAACGAGGTCACATGATAAAATATAGATAAGTACTATCTACCTGAGATAGTACTATTGTAAAGTAATTTTTTGCTGCTACCCCACTTGCCCACCCTTGCCAATTGAATACGCATAGCAAAGTAGGTTACGCGAAATGCCAAAGTCAATTTCAATGTCAAATGAGCGCGCATCGACTGTATTACATGTATGCATGTTGCGCTTTGTAAAATCTAGCTGAAGCTAAACTGTCTGCTGAATCAGTTCTTATTATTATGTAAAATTCACTTTAAATAGACCTTATTGCCGATGTGGGATATAAAACAAATATTAACCTCCTTTACTCGGGCAATGGATACAAATTATCATTGCCTCGGTGATCTCGGGCTACCAGCATCCCTCGCCTGGCGGCTCGGGATGATAGTAGCCCCGAGATCACCTCGGCGATGATAGTTTGCACCATTACCCTCATAGTCGATTAATATTTGCTTATAAGAACATAATCCTCTAATTGTTTATCACCCATACAGTTCCTGGACCATAGAGGGCCTGCTTAAAGACAACCCCAAGAAGCCTGGAGAAGGAATCAAAGAGCTTAAACTCCAGCAGGAGCTGCAGCGACTTCAGGAGGAGAAAGAGAAAACTGAAGCACAACTCAGGAAGCTGGAGGATGAGAAAAAGAGACAGACAGAGGAGATTGAAGAGAAGGCCAATCAAGCAGCTAAGGTAATATTTGTATCAACATTTTATTCATTTTTTATTACAGCTGTTACTTGACAGTATAGACTAACTTGATATTTTTATGTTCGTCTATGAGAATGAGTCTTTTATTCTAGTGTTTTCCATCTTACCTCTGTTTAGTAATATGCAATTATTTCCAATGACAAGTTATGAATATCAATTTCATTAAATTTCTATGGCTTTCTGTAAGTGGCCTAAATAGCCTCAAGGCATAGGGTTCTAATTCTATTTGGGAATGGAAGATTGTGTAAAGATTGTGTTCATTTGTAAATATGATGACAAGGGGGTCGTTTCATCACTCCATGACAGTAATATCTTTGTCTGCAACCTACCCAGGTGTCATGAAGCAGACAAATTCAAGATATCTATACTATCTTCCCAAAAATAGTTTTTCACAATCCATCAGATTTTATCCTGAATTTGAGGCTTACTTTCACTCAAACTGTTTAAAAAATAAAAATCTAAGTGGTAGCACAAATGATACAAACATCCACTTTGCATGAAAACATTTGTTACTAATGACATCTAAGAATTTAACAAATTGAGAAATTGAGAAAGTTGCTTTTGCGATGAACGAATGAAAATTTGTAAGTAAGAGGATACCATAACTCTTATCCAATCAAAAGAAGACCCTTATTTTTTCTATTTAGGAAAATAATGGAAACAATATTTTATCACTCACAATTTTAACACATATTTGTGAAATAATTATGTGATATGATTTGTGTTAAAGGTTATGCCTGAAAATAGAAAATATCTAGAGAAATACCTACATGACAATTGTCATCTTTCTCATGGGTGTGTAATTACAGACTGTTCCATCTTCGGCATCATTGCTATGGTAAACCGATGTTTGGACATATAAATCTTATCTTACTTGTTAGGCATAACAAAAACATTATAAGACCAATTGGTATGCTTAAATAATACTTTAAAGAAAAATAACTGATCAGTAAAATGGGAGCTACAAGATCAAGAAATAAGTTTTTAAATCAATTTTCCGTTTTCAATTTTTCACTGCCCATGGACAAACGTAATGTTATCTTGAGATGGTGTTCTAAAAAGAGTCCCGACAAGTCTGTCGTTGGGGAAGTTGTTTTGTGAAACACTTAGCGGACAAGTTGAGTGTCATTGCCGAGATGTCCTTAATTGATACTTACGACGATTACTTGAAACGACTCCCTGGGTAAATGTAGACATTTTTATTATTATTTATTTTCTATAACCAAAGTTGGCTGGATTCTGGTCTATATTTGCATAGGTTAACTCTGAATATCTTTTTCCCCTTTGTCTCACAGGAACGTGAGCAAATCCTGAAGGGTGAAATAAACCTATTGCGTAATGAGCTGGTAGACCAGAGTCACAAGATGGCTGACAACAACAAGATGATGATTAATCTTCAAGAACAGCTAATGAACCTGCAGTCTGAACAGCTGAGGTTGAGTGCAAGGGAGAAGAGAGCCACTTCCAGTGTCATGCCTAGAGGAAAACCATCCTCTACGCAGAGCAAGATATGCACACTCAGTTGATTTTAGGAATGCTTACTTGATCTGAAGTCCTAGTAGCTAGTCATCTTCAACAGGAATACTTGTCACCATTTGCAAAAACAGTTATAGTTGAGTGAAAGTCATTAGTGGACAGTCAAGCCATCTTCTGCAAGATATGCATTTGTAGTTGATCATCAAGAAGTGTTGCAAAACTTGTTAAAAATATAATATGTAAACAGCTACCCAAACTTTGGCCTGGACAACTACTCCACTTCAAGCTAGCTGCAGTTGAATGAATGAGCGGATTGACCGTTCTCAATTCATCTTCAATAACATTTGGAGAAGCATGTAAGATTTATAGTAGCTACTCAACTTCAGCTAGAACATCCACTTAAAATTCAATCAGTTAAGGTTGAATAGGTTGGAGATATGAACAGCTTCCAGTGTCACACACCTAGAAGAAAAATACATTTTGCATAGAGCAAAATATGAGCTCATGGTTGATCTTCAGGAGCATCTACAGAATCACTTTAAAAGTGTGTTTCATCTGGCATTCTATGGGTTCATGGTAAAGGTGCATAAAGATAATAAAGAATAACATAATAGTTGTTGGTTATTGGTACACTAAGCTCATTCCCTAGCCAGCCAAAGTTGAATATGTTTGAGATATTAGCCACCTCCAGTGTCATGCCCAAAGGCAAGACATCCTCTGCAGAGAGCTAGATCATCATAGACCATTAGAGATACTCTATGTTCAGTCATATTTGTTATGAGCGAGTACAATCAGAAGAACACAAGTTACCTCCTGTGACACATTCAGAATGATACAATCAAGATTAGATGCTTGTTAAAGGGACTTGGTAATATTGTTCAGATGAGAGAAAGTGGTGCTGAGGTAGTGATTTCAATGCTAGATGTATAATTAAAGATAACCTGAAAGTTTGAGTGAAAACGGACCATTATTAACGATATAAAATGGGAAAGACTGATCTGATCGATTCCTTAATTCTCCCAACTATTTTATTACAATTTAATTACATTTTAGGTGATTGTAAATCATCACAAAGCAATGAATTCTCTCTCTATACCATTCCAGACATTTTAGTGTTGAAAGATCTTTTAAAGCCTGTCTTATGTCTTTTTATGCCTCCGTTACGAAGTAGCCGGAGGCATTATGTTTTCGGGTTGTCCGTCCGTCCGTCCGTCCGTCCGTCCGTCCGTCCGTCCGTACGTCTGTACGTACGTCTGTACGTACGTCCCGTTCTCGTGATCACGTTATCTGAAGAACGGATCAATGGATTCCTACCAAACTTTGGTCATATATGTATCTAGCAAAGTCGATGAACTGATTAGATTTTGGGGTCACGAGGTCAAAGGTCAAAGGTCACAGGGCTCATTATGTATGCAAAAACAGCTCGTGATCGCGTTATCTGAAGAACCGATGGATGGATTCCTGCCAAACTTTGGTCATGTATGTATCTTGTAGAGTCGATGAACTGATTAGATTTTGGGGTCACGAGGTCAAAGGTCAAAGGTCACAGGGCTCATTATGTATGCAAAACGGCTCGTGATCGCGTTATCTGAAGAACCGATAGATGGATTCCTGCCAAACTTTGGTCATGTATGTATCTTGCAGAGCCAATGAACTGATTAGATTTTGGGGTCACGAGGTCAAAGGTCAAAGGTCACAGGGCTCATTATGTATGCAAAAACAGCTTGTGATCGCGTTATCTCAAGAACCGATTGATGGATTCCTGCCAAACTTAGGTCATGTATGTTACTTGCAGAGCCGATGAACTTATTAGATTTTGGGTAACGAGGTCAAAGGTCAAAGGTCACAGCGCCCATTATGTATGCAAAAACAGCTTGTGATCGCGTTATCATTAGAAAGATTGATGGATTCCTGCCAAACTTAGATCATTTATGTATCTTGCAGAGCCAATGAACTGTGTAGATTCTTGGTTCATAAGGTCCAAGGTCATGGGCTCATTATGTATGCAAAAATAGCTTGTGAACGCATTCTCATTAGAACTGACAGATGGATTACTATTTAACTCTGGATATCTTGCAGAGCCAATGAGCTGAGTAGATATTAGGATCATGAGGTCAAAGTTCAAAGGGTCATATATGTATATGAGAAATTGTTTGTAATCACGATATTCTGAGAACCTGTTAATGGATTACAATTGAACTTGAATTTGAAAAATTTCTTCTGTTTTGGTTTGTAAAATTGCTCTATGACGGAGGCATCATTTTCGACTGCGCGCAGTCGAATTCCATCTAGTTTTTCATGGAAAATTTACTATTAATCACTGTTAGAGGGTGTTGCACAGTGACACTTTCAAAGAAAACCATAGATATCTTTGTGGTTTGAGATTTGTTTGCATGTTAGAGGGTTAGTACAGTAGAAGGAATATAAAAAGTAACATTTCATACAAAATTTATGCAATTTTGTTATCAACTTTCAACAATGTTACTGAGTCACTTTAAATACTGTCTGCATCAGGCGCGCCGAAAGCAGTTTGGGATTGGGGGGGGGGGGCAAACATTCCAGGGGGCTCACCTTCCATGGGCAGTGACGTAATGAGCAAAAACGTTTGCAAGTGGGGGGGGGGGGGGGCAGAAGAAAAATCTTCATCACCACCACTCTTACATGTTACATGCAGGCCCCGTGGAACGTTTTTTAAAGTGGAGTATTAACGATCAGGTCTGGGTTTTTAGGCATTAAATTACGATCAGATAGGCATATTTAGAAACCTTATTTGTGACACTGGCAGGTCAATAATTGGCGTAGAGTCCAGGGAGCAGAGCTCCCGGAAGCTCAGGGGTTTTAGGTACTTAATTACGGTTAGATGATCATCCAGGAGCCCTCTTTAAGCCCCCGGAAGCTCAGAGGTTTTAATATTTAACTACAGTCAGATAAGCTTCCAGGGGGCCGCATTAGGGCCTTTGGTAGGGTCCAGGGGGCAGAGCCCCCGGAAGCTCGGGGGTTTTAGGTATTTAATTACGGTCAGATGAGCATCCAGGGGACCGCCTTGGGCAGGCCCTTAGTGGGGTCCAGGGGCAGAGCACCTGTAGGCTCTGGGGTTTTAGGCATTTAATTACGGTCAGATGAGCATATTTTGATACCTCATTTGTGACATTGGCAGGTCACTTATTTTATCTCTCTTTCTTTCTTTTTCTCTGTAACATACTTTTTCAAAAAGTGAGAGGGCGCACCCGAGCCCAGCCATTTTGCAGACCATGACATAAAGGCTTCAAAATAAGCATATTTTTTGCCCGACTGTAAATTTGGGAATTTCTAATTTTCCAACAAACGCATTAAAAAATGTGTGACTTAACAATAAATTGAGAAAAAAATACTGGAAAATCATTTCATTTCAGCAACATTTGTAAATCACTAGTATCGAATAAGAAATTATCCTCCCCCCCCCCCACCAGTACGCCAGCGTTTAGGGGCTCATGTTTTCTCACCCCTATAACAAAAAACAGACACGCTTTCCTATTCTCTCACAATATGTCCACAATATGCGCGTATTGCTTTTATAAAAACCTTCATTGATAAATATAGGTGGCATGCGCAAATTTTAGGAAATTTAATTCCTGTTAACTTTACTTTTATGGAATGGAATTTTATATGTGATTTAATTAAGGTTTTTATTATTGTTATGTTCTTTTGGGTTAAAAATACAAACCATCCTTACTCCTTTACTGCTTTTTTTTTTTTTTTGGAGGGGGGGGGGGGCAAAAATGCGTTTTGGGTTCGGGGGCAACTGCCCCCCCCCCACTTCCGGCGCCTATGATCTGAATTGTATTCATGTGATATCAGTTGCCCCAAAGTTGCTTTTTATTTTGGCAACGGAGCTTATAACGTTCTCAGACCACATGGGCTCATTAATCCACACACACAAAAAAAAAAAAAATACATGGAAAAAAATATATATATATCTCAAGAGTTATGTGAGGATGGAACTTCAAACTTGGTATTATCATTTACTGAAATCAATGAGTAAATTTTTAGTTGCGTATGTCAATTTTTTTGGGGGGGGGGAACGGGATTTGATTATCTTGATATCTTAAAATCTATTAAGGCGTGAACTGAAAATGTGTTATTATTATGGATCATCAAAGAGAGATCGAGTAAAAAGATCTAGGGGTTTGTAGGTATAAGGCAACGGTGGTCAATAAGTGATAATCATGTATTGAGTTCTATAAATTACAAGTAAATCCTGATATCACAACAAAAACATTTTGACATTTTCAAATCAACTAGTATTTGTCAATGTAGGAAGGTATATAATAGTATACAAAATTTAGAGAGGGGTCTCAAAATTGATGATTGAAAAAAAGAATAAGATTACCTGTAGTTTTTATACATATAAGTGGCGCATATTTGAGATATAATTGCATTTGTCTTTTATTGTTCAATGTAAAATACAGTTTCTGCGCTGAAAAGCCTCTGCCACTTTGTCCTTCCTTCTGGTATTAAAGTATAAATTTCAAGGTGACATTCGCAAATTTTTGGTGTGGAAAAGTAGTCGTGAAATGGAAAATCAAATACACGGTACCTCTTTTTGACGAATAATTGAACGAATGCTTTACACTAAGTCAAGAGTGAATATCAAGTAAAATAGATTGATTATTGTGGATTACATATTCTTGTACTTTTAGGGCCTTGTACAATAGGAGTTTATATCATTAGCTCCATATACTTCTGAGAGTAGTGCAAAAACGTATAGATCATACCTCATTTTATTGTACTTCTAATATGCGGAGAGACTTATTTTTCTATTGTATATATTGGTATTTACATCTTACAACTCGGTCATATTAATATATGTTGATAATTATCAATCATTACAAAGATTGGGAGTATCAATTTTATGTAAATAAATAAGTGAAATGATCAGGTATTTTAGAGTTTTTTTTAGAGTCACCTGAATACACAATTCATCATTGAGATGTGTCATCTTTAATTTCAAAGTGTATGTATAAGATGTGAGTTTTACTTGTAGTAAAATATAATGGAGCTGTTTATCTGACTTTTTAACTTAATCAGTCTTTTGAAATTGCTGAATGCATCTTTCCAAAGTGCCTTCAATCTGTTGTAAATTTTACTGAAATCTATGAGTAAATTTTTAGTTGCGTATGTCAATTTTTTTTGTTATAATTTTGTTTTAATTTTTAATTTTTAATTTTTTTTTTTTATATAATACTATTGTAAGATGCTTCTGTACTCTTCCTTAGCTCAACCCTCCTTGTTTCTCATGTTTCCTTGAATGAATATGTTCTATGGATGTCCAACAAAGGTTTCTTGTTGAAAATGTCCAACAGTGTGCCTGCTGCTGCAGTAATGTGTTATGCATACATTCTGAAGAGATGTGTAAACTTATCTTATTTTCCTGCCTTTGTTTGTTTGTATAGATGGCCAAACTTTAGTTGGTTCGGTGTGATGTATGTAAAATTCAAAACTAGCAAGAGAAGCAATTACTTGCTTTGAAATTTTATCTAATTTCTAAACACTTTCATCAGCATTAATGTACTGAATATTAATTTTATTATTTCTTTCTCTTTTTTCTTTCCCTTTAATTGTGTAGATTGAATGAAATTCTTTACAGGCCCTCTGAACTTTTACAGGAAACTGTTTTAATCATATTGAATGTGACAATCATATAATTGTATTTACTGATATGGGTGGAATTTTATGTTTTTGTTTCCTTCCTTTCTTTCTGTAAAAACTAAAAAGATTGTACTTATTTGTTGATCTAGTCCCTCCATAGTTATTGTGTGATGTGCATATTGCCTAGCTGGCTAGAGCATTTGTTTATTTTTATTGCTAGATGATTGATATTATTGTAAATTATGTTATTACAATGTATATAATGAAAGATATAGAGAACATAAAGTTTTTTGTAAAGTATAGCATTATCCATTCTACATGTATTTGTATAAAAAAGAATGATTTTTTTTGTAGGAAGAAATATAAATGAATGAAATGTTCGAGGAGGAAGGTAGTATACTGAAGACTAAACCACCCAAATTAAATATTGAAACTTTAAAGCTTATTTTATCATTCTGTCATAGGAGCCTTTGTGTACTCAGTCTTTGATTTTCTTTGAATCAATTATTGTGAAGGCTTATCATTTCTGCCTATACATGTAATTACTAACATTCAAGAGGCCAAAAACAGAGCATTTGCTTTATATCACTTTGATCATTTTGAGATTTGGCAAGAAAAAGAAATGGCCATCAAGGGGAATTTACTGCCAAGATGACATTAGCTATTCTTCCATAATGTAATTATTCCTATATAGTGATTCAAAGGATTCCCCATCAAAACATACAAGAGGATAATAAACCACAATATTCTTGTGAATCTCCTCAAAATTATGGTCTCTAAAGCACTACCTGGGAGCTGCCATTTTCTGGATAATGTGACATATGATACAGAGTCATAACAATAGAACAGTTCACAAATTTATTCAAACTTATGGCTGTTTCTTCCCTCAGTGTGAACATTGACAAAATATTGAATACACATGTTCTTACATAATAAGAAACAGACATAGTGGTTAGAATGCAAGTTGCATTTAATAGGTTTTGACTGGTCAGCTAAACCCTAAAATTCCTTTCTCTATAGAATACTGAAGCTGTGACATAAAAATCTGTGTTTAGAATTTCTCAATTTTCTCTTCATTTTCCAAAAGAGCATCAAAAATAATGTCCGAATGTCGAAAACCAATTGAATATGTTAAGTATTGGCTGAGATATGACCATCTGAAAAAATATATGTCCTATGGGAACTCAGTGTTATAGTGCTTTGGTTCTAATGTTATGAACCATATATTTATTCAGATGGTCATATCTCAGCCAATACTTGATATATTCAATTGGTATTTCGACATTCAGACATTATTTTTGATGCTCTTTTGGAAAATGAAGGAAAAAAAAATGAGAATTCTAAAAATTGATTTTTTTTTTTTTTTTTTTAATTTTTTTTTTTTATGACGTCACATTTCACCACTCTATTAGTAAATCAGAGTATTTAAAAGAAATAAATGAGAACTTGGGTTACTTGATGCTTTTTTTAATAATTTGTAAGTCCATTTAAAAAAGAAAAAATGCAGAATAACATTGATAATTTTTATTTCATGGGGTCAGAAAACTTTTCACCCCTTTTGTGTTGGGGGGGGGGGGGGTTAAAATACTGGCACATGTATTTTCAATGATCTTAATGTAATATTTGACATTTGAAATGATATAAAATGTCCATGATTTATGCGTTTGTGAACTTAATGTGTATAAACCCAAAGGGACTCTGCATTCCATTTTTTTGTTCGTGTATCTTGACATCATTTCCCTCTGTACCAATCTGTGTATGCAATTCTAAATTCTGTGTGTGAAAATAAATTCATTTTTTGCCGGCGTATAATGTTTGTCCTGCTGTTTTCACACAGTTTTACCAGTGTAGGACGCATCTTGATTTGTATTTTGGTCCAGTGGTATGCAACGACAAAGAAACAGACAAAGAATTAAATCATCTGATTTGGAAGAAATGGCTATATCATTTGATAAAAGTACATGTAATTGAACATCAAATCTTTTTGCTAATGGTCACTCAAAGTGTATCAAAATGTGGAGATATTGCAGACCTTCATAGAAGAGAAAATGTTAAATTAACTTGGTCATACAGCTGGTCTGATATCAGTAAGGATCATAGCTGATCAGGGAGGTTCTAGTTGCGCCTCAATTATCATTTTACTGTTCATATGCTTGACCCTGATCTAATGCCATTACAAGTTCATCGCAAATGGAATTGCAATCGTAATGTGTAGAGTGCGACTGGCTGAAGACGAAAGAAACGGCAACATGCAGCTAGGAGTCATTATTGATGGATCATGTGTTTTTACAAGAGAGAAGTAAAAACAGTTGCTACTAAAAATGAAAATCAACATTGAAATGTAACCTATGGTAACATAATCCATGCAATGATGAGCAACAAACGGGAATTAAGCAGATCCAACGGGAAGATGAGGGGGGAGGGGTGAAAAGCGTTCAGACAATAGGGTTCTAGAGAAGGTAGTAACAGTTCCTATCCGAAAATGAGGCAAAAGACGAGCTTAATTTTGTCCGATAAAAAGTGCTCAATGTAAAAACTCATTGCTTGCATAATACTGATGTATAAACTATTTAAATAACATAAAGTAGAATAACAATAAAATATAATGAAACAAAATTAATTATCAAACAATTGAAGCATACAACTCCAGAAATACGATACACAGTGATTATTTTACCTAACTGATATGAGTAAGCAGCCAGACGACCGACTGCTTTAGGTCCTCTCCGACGGACCTGGTAATGAGGATTAGGGGCGGATCTAGCTTTTTGCCAAGGGGGTTGACCAAAGATTTTTTTTTAAACTTTTTTTTCTTTTTCACTTGGCCGCCCAGGGGGGGGGGGGGGGGGTTAAACCACCGAAACACCCTTCCCCCCTAGATCCGCCCCTGCTGCTCTACCAACTGAGCTATCGCGGAAGAAATGCAACAAAATTAATTTTGAATATTTGACTAAAACAAATTTAATAATGCATCTCTCCATTGACGTACCGACTCCATTGATGTATTGACGTACCCTATATCCCAGGACCGGGAGCGTCATGAAAGGAAAATTGAAAAAGTACAAATACTGATTAGAGACTGCAATAAACGTTTAGGTTCTGGAGGGCCCAAGAGTGCAGCGTTAAGACAAATAAAAATCTTCTCGCTCGGTTGCTACGCTCCCTCGCATAATGATCTGGGGGGGGGGGGGAGGGTTGAGGTCAGTTGCCCCTCTAATACAATTCAAACTTGGTTTATTTCCCTGTGCTTCGCGGGGGCTCCGCCCCCCTTGGACCCTACCATGGGACCTAAGGCGGGCCCCTGGATGCCCATCTGACCGTTATTAAATGCCTAAAACCCCTGAGCCTAATTAAATGCCTGAAACCCCTTGACCCCCGCCGGGGCTTTCCCCCTGGACCCCACTCCAATTTGCTTCGCTCGCTTTGCTCTACCTGATCGTAAATACTTAAGCCCCCCCCCCCCCCCACTTTGAAAAACGGTCCACGTGCGGAGCCTGCATGTAACTTATAAAATATTTCCTGAAAAATTGGACCCCCCCCCCCCCAAACAAAAAAGTGCCCCTTCCGGCCCCCCCCCCCCCATCCCCGCTTATTCACCGGGTGGCTGATTCGTAACTAAATAATTTCTCACTGATTGGCCACCCCTCCCCCCCCCCCCCCCCCCTGTTGTCGCCGGCTGGATCCGCCACCGTTCACATGATAACCAAATGAACATTTAACCTCTCTCAAGTAATCCCGGGCATTCCTTTTAGTTCTCTAAACATTAACAATTAATATTAAAAATATTCAAATGTATTGTTAGAGGAAAACCTGCCATATGTGTCTTCTCCCATTCAAGATCGGTCGGGATAATACAATAAATAAACAAAAGAACCCGTCCAATTACGATCAGCTCTGAATATTTACACTCGTTTTAAAGTTATCAACTCGTTACATAATGTCATTCAATCATTTTCAATTCCGATAAAGTCACCTGATCGCACTATTACGCCCTAATTAAAATAAAACTCCATAAACATATAAAACAGCATCATCAAAAAGAAGATATTCAAGAATTTTTATTGGAATAGATTTTCCTCTTCTTTTGTCTCGTGTCTTCTATACCATTCAAAATCGGTCGGCATGTTACAATCAACAAAGAACCCGACCAATCACGACCACTCTAAATATCTGTACTATTTATAAAGTCATGAACTCGTATGCTACGGTCAAAAAATTCGTACGAACGATAATTTCGTACGAATCTCCCTGTTTTTATCGTACGTGCGGCGTTCGTAGCAGTTCGTAATGGCATTTGTGACCGAGGCTTAAGCTAAAATCATCGAACACCCCAATGAACCCTTGCTTTTTTCCTTTTCTTTTCTCACTTCATCTTAAGTCGTTCGAACACTACTTCAAACTACTTCAGAATCCATGACATTCGAGCAAATAACAATTTGTTATATGTTCCACTGTAATAGTCGAAATATGTCGTTTAAAGGAATTTTGTTCTCTCTCTCTCTCCCCGAGTCATTCTCGTTCCTTCCTTCAATATGCATCCTGTTACACTCATAACCTGTATCTCAATTAAGCCTACTTTGAATATCACAAGTTATAAAAGCACGTTTAATTGTTTTCCTCCAAAGAAGTAGTTTCTGCTTTCATATCTGCAGATTATACACACATTACAATGTCATGTTTTTCTTCTCATTTGAATTAATTATCACACTGCCTGAATACAAAGTAAGTCTCATTTCAAAGCAAAATCGCAGTTTTGAAACAACAACTAAAGGCACTAATTCTTCTTTCAATGTGAATACTGAAGGTGCACATTATCTAGATCCTTGATAGATAATTCATATGTTATTAAAACTATTTACCTTTTCTTTTCTTTTTCCAGGCTATAACGCATGACGCAACTCTAACTGTGTTTTTCAGTTTAAATGCAACATAAATGAACCAAAAGAAGGTATCTTACACATATACAGATTAGCCAGAAAATATTATTTGAACGTCTTATTAAAGTTCTCATGGTCTTTCTTTTCTCTTCTTCATAAATACTATTAAATAAATTCTTTAAGTATGTCAGTTCTCAGCTACTTCTTCTTCTCTTCAAACGTTGGTGTGTTTTTTTCTTTCTTCTCTTTCATCCCTTTAGTTCTTTCTTTTCTTAGGACGAGACCGCTTGTCTCGTCCTGATCTTCTTACATTGGTCGCTCCAGGATGTCGTGGGCTATCAGACCGCTTGTCTCGTCCTGATCTTCTTACATTGGTCGCTCCAGGATGTCGTGGGCTATCAGATCGCTTGTCTCGTCCTGATCTTCTTACATTGGTCGCTCCGGGATGTCGTGGGCTATCAGACCGCTTGTCTCGTCCTGATCTTCTTACATTGGTCGCTCCGGGATGTCGTGGGCTATCAGACCGCTTGTCTCGTCCTGATCTTCTTACATTGGTCGCTCCGGGATGTCATGGGCTATCAGACCGCTTGTCTCGTCCTGATCTTCTTACATTGGTCGCTCCAGGATGTCGTGGGCTATCAGATCGCTTGTCTCGTCCTGATCTTCTTACATTGGTCGCTCCGGGATGTCGTGGGCTATCAGACCGCTTGTCTCGTCCTGATCTTCTTACATTGGTCGCTCCGGGATGTCGTGGGCTATCAGACCGCTTGTCTCGTCCTGATCTTCTTACATTGGTCGCTCCGGGATGTCGTGGGCTATCAGACCGCTTGTCTCGTCCTGATCTTCTTACATGGGTCGCTCCGGGATGTCGTGGGCTATCAGATCGCTTGTCTTGTCCTGATCTTCTTACATTGGTCGCTCCAGGATGTCGTGGGCTATCAGACCGCTAATTGTCTCGTCCTGATCTTCTTACATTGGTCGCTCCGGGATGTCGTGGGCTATCAGACCGCTAATTGTCTCGTCCTGATCTTCTTACATTGGTCGCTCCGGGATGTCATGGGCTATCAGACCGCTTGTCTCGTCCTGATCTTCTTACATTGGTCGCTCCAGGATGTCGTGGGCTATCAGATCGCTTGTCTCGTCCTGATCTTCTTACATTGGTCGCTCCAGGTTGTCGTGGGCTATCAGACCGCTTGTCTCGTCCTGATCTTCTTACATTGGTCGCTCCAGGTTGTCGTGGGCTATCAGACCGCTAATTGTCTCGTCCTGATCTTCTTACATTGGTCGCTCCGGGATGTCGTGGGCTATCAGATCGCTTGTCTCGTCCTGATCTTCTTACATTGGTCGCTCCAGGATGTCGTGGGCTATCAGACCGCTAATTGTCTCGTCCTGATCTTCTTACATTGGTCGCTCCAGGATGTCGTGGGCTATCAGACCGCTTGTCTCGTCCTGATCTTCTTACATTGGTCGCTCCAGGATGTCGTGAGCTATCAGACCGCTAATTGTCCGTCCTGATCTTCTTACATTGGTCGCTCCGGGATGTCGCTATCAGATCGCTTGTCTCGTCCTGATCTTCTTACATTGGTCGCTCCGGGATGTCGTAAGCTATCAGACCGCTTGTCTCGTCCTGAAGGGATGATAATAGCTTGCTTGACGATAATTCATGTATTTTTGTCGACCCGATGTCCTTTAACGACCTTGGCCTATCATAATAAAAGTGGACACCTAAACCTCCTTTCGTTAGTTTACTATACCCATAACTGTTTAGATAGAATAATGATATATCTGGATTTATTTAGCGCTTAATACTGAATACCGCCTCTATTAAGCGCTTTACAGATATTATTATTACCCTGGTAATCGGATTTGCTCACGCACACAGTGTGCATAATTTCCAGGGCAAATGGCAATTTTTATCACAAAAACTTCGTTATCCTACCAGGTCCCAATTTTTCACCATGGTATAGATAAATGTCCTGCCAAGTGATTTATTCTCCCCATCCTTTCTGACCTGTATTAAGCTGTATTTGTCTGATAACACTCATTGCTAACTATTTCACATGGGCTATATATCACTTATAAGCATCTTAACAACTTTCCATGTTTATCTGGGACTGTGAATTTTAGATGTGAATATAACACAAAACAATAAAATCTAACAATCTTAATGTGATTCATACATGAAGTTTGGCCTAATCATACAGGGAAAAGTACCCGAGGTGGCCATTTAAAAGAAATGGCACTGGAGGCCAAATATTTAACATTACTTCCATTGTCTAAAAATTTTAATTTAATTTGGTGCATTTATCACAAAATGTTCAATATAGCACTCTACTCTGTCGCCTCACAATAAGGAATTATTGATTGAAAAGGAAAGATAACATGATTAAAAATTCATCCAGACTACATTTTTCTGATTTATTTAGAGAGTAGAATGTTTTCTATCTGAATCGGGGAAACTTTTGAGCCGGAAGCAAATAGCGAAATGAGAGGCGGGTCTTTCATTCCATTTTGCTAAAGCTGGCGGTACCCGCAAATTTTATGAATGATTCAGCTTGAAACATATCCTTACAAAACGTAGGTAAGGTCTTGAATTACGGTTCTTAACGTGCAAAATAAAGTCATGTTCATTCACGAGAGAATTAATAGACCCTCCAATAAGTTTATGGCAGCTCCTTCTTCTTTCAAAATATTAACGTCGTAATAATCATCTCACTAGTAAACTAAATGAGCATAAAGCATAATATACCATTTGCATCTAAGTAGAAAGAATGAGAGAGGTTATTAAGTATCCTCGTAACTTTGAGAAGTTTTTCACCATGATGTGCATGGACATGCATGCATCCGCTTTGACAGAGTCATCCGTAAAGCAGTAGATCTAATTTTGTCGCGACATGAGGCAACGGTGAAAATGGTAAGTCAAGCAAAATAATTATTTTACTTTTTATTTCAGGTTACATGATTTCATTTAAAATTTGAATCGGTTAGAATAAAAAAAAAGATCGCAAGTATTCAAAGTGCACTTGTCGAAATTTTTCTCCTTGTGGTTTATAACATAATCCATATTTGTCCCGATTTAAATTTCTTAAGAATGTGACATATTAAAGCATACATCTAAAAGCATTTAAAAGGGCCATAATTTAACCAGTCTACTTTTCATTCTTGGGTTACGAAAAACAAGAAATACATCAAATTTACAAGGAGTATAAATAATTCAGTTATTAACTGTATTTCTATTAAATTACCTCAAATTATATCGTCTGAAGTATGGAAATAAAATGCATTGTCCTTGCACCATTACTTATGTTTAATGCAGTGTGTGAGTTGTCCCGAAATAGTGACGCTGGTTGTAAAAGAAACTTGACTTCTTAATATGTATAAGGTTAGTTGGATCATCTAAGTCATTAGGGACTTTTAGATTTGCACAACGACAACGTGGATTGCTACCATCGACGTCCTTTTAATGCACTGCCTTGAATGGACGTCACACGTATCAGTCCACGCAAATCTAAAAGTCCCTATTGACAGAAGTTGTAAGCCTGACCATACGGTTAGGCTTACAACTTCTGTCGTATAACCGAATAACCTCCAGAGCCCCCGAAACATAGGCCTGCACTAGAGTCTTTATCCAGTGTACCCGATTCACCAAACGTTGTCAGTAGAAAGTTAATATGAATGGCCTTTACAAACATATAAAAGCTAACATTGTTTTCTTCCTATCAGACAGGAAATGACAAAGGCAACGGGTCTGACGTCAAGCTTGAATTTCTTTCTGGTTCCCTAGGAAGTACCAGCCTTATTCCTACGGTTCATCAGCCTGATGTGAAATGCTGGTAGGTATTAAATATGTCATTTACAAATAATACGATCCCGTTTGTCGGCAGAGAGGGGACACAGTTTACTCATGAGCTATTAAAGGTCGGATTAAATCCAAATATAAGTTGATTCCTGTTGATGAGCAGGGCTGCATACGACTCGGTCATATTTTGTTATTCAAACATCTAAATATATTTCATAGATTTTTAAATACTCTAAAAATAATTTTCTCAGATCTGCTAAGCTCCACCCTAAAAAAATGCCCCAGATCTCATTCTCATAATGACATCATCTGTCATTCATTAGTGAGCTAACAAGAGACAGTGGTATGTATATAGCTTCACCAGAGCTGACCACCTGTACAATGATAGACCATACAATACCAACACAGGAGTTTATATGTCAGACGTGCTGTAGCATCACCAGGAAAAGAAAGGTAATGTGGAGGTATTGTACGAAAGCGTGCAGTTCTTTTTTGAGCATGTGCTGAGCTGGGTGAAGTTACATACCTCAAATATAAAATAATAACTTTTAAGAACTACAGAAACGCTCGAATCGTCTGAATTTACCGACAACAAATATTAAATGTAAGTAATGACCCGTCTAGAAATATGTAGATAATACACAATTATAATCCGTACTTCCAGTCTAACGTCATTGCCTGTAAATACTTTATCTTCCATATGTAGCACATGGATACTCTACTTATCATTCTTCTTGTTAAGCTGCGTCATCATCTGGTTCATCGTCACCTCTCTCGTCCTCAGTTTCCACGTCTACAGACGATCCCAAACAATATCGAGCTGGTATCAACGATGCATAAATAAGCGACGACGAAATCCGTGCCAGGACACGAAGATTGAGATACACTATCATCACATTATCCAATACGATGTGGCTAAAATGCCGTTGCTAAGCGACGTCAACGAATTATGGATGGATGGACGGAAAGGATGGTTCGGGGCGTCAATGAAAGACTACATCTTCAGTAAACCACCGATGCCAATCTGCCCTGAGCTTGAAATGGGTCCGAACAGGAGCGGGGACCCAGGATCTCAAGACAGCAAGCATTGTGATCGCTAGCTTCACTTGTGGAAATATTTTTCAGAAAAAGACGTCGCCCGCGAGGAGGAAGAGTCATCTGAGTATTGAACGATGAACGATGAAATAAAATGATTGAATTTAATAGACCGGTTTACTAACATAGGGTATTCAAATTTTATCCGATATGTTTAAACTAAGATTGTTCTTGACAACCGGACAACTTGCCCAAGGTTTGTCTGACATAGAAAAAGTAATGTACGCAGACTGGATTCCAAATATTGTAGTTCATTCATTCATTCATATCAATTACGTATTTACCCAATTTCTTCTGAATGATGCAAAACCAAATTACGTAATATTAATGGAAATATGTTTTTGTTAATAGATATTAAAAAATAATCTATTCAATATTCTGTTGCGGAAAACCTGTGTTTCTTATCCCATGAATTTGGTTGTTATACGATGGGTGCATAGTATATGCGTATAGGTGTATAGTTGAATAGTTGAATAGATTTCCTGCGTTCTGATTGGATGGCTATAGATAGACATAATTATAGTCGTAAAGTTGTATTAAGTTCTGAAGCTGTGACTAAGTGTTACTTGCTCTGGCTCGTAATGGTTATGAACCAGAGCAAATAACACTGATCTCCTATAGGAAATCTTTTTATTCAGATGGTCATATCTCTGCCAATATTTTTGGAATAAATTTGCATAAATTACCATAATTAATTAATGGAAAACAATTTCAAAATTCTGCGTAGAGGTATAGTGTACCAAAGTTAGCTCTATGATTTAAAGCAAATCAAATCAAAATCGGTCGAAATATGAAGGAGAAGAAGCATTTTTTGTTATTTTTGGGAATAAATTTGCATAAATTACCATAATTAATTAATGGAGAACAATTTCAAAATTCTGTGTAGATGTTTAGTGTACCAAAGTTAGCTCTACCAAATAAGGCAAACCAAATCAAAATCGGTCAAGAAATGAGGGAGAAGAAGCAATTTTTGTTATTTTTGGAATAAATTTGCATAAATTACCATAATTAATTAACGGAGAACAACTTCAAAATTCTGTGTAGATGTTTAGTGTATCAAAGTTAGCTCTACCAGATAAACCAAACCAAATCAAAATCGGTCGAGAAATGAAGGAGAAGAAGCATTTTTTGTGATTTCGAATAAAATTGCATAAATTAGCATAGATAATGAATTTCACGATTCTGTGTAGAAGTTTTAAATCCCCCTCCTAGCCCTATCATATGAAACACTCAGAATCAAAATCGGTTGAAAAATAACGAAGAAGAAGCATTTTGAAAACTGTGGACGCATGGACGGACGACGGACACGGCACGGCACGGCACGGCACGGCACGGCTCATCAGGCCCTTCGGGCCGGATGAGCTAAAAACGGGTATCATTTACACCCTGATGGAGAGTGGCAGATATGGAATAATGTGTTGCCAAAGGACGTTAGTACCGGGCCGTGGTTAAGTCAGGGGGTTAAGTGAATGACTATCTCTGGAACCACTATACCACGACATCTGCACATTCATGACGCAACGTTGCGTTTCTATGGGAAGCTTTCAGGCGGAAAGTTCTCGTTTCCTTAAGCTCGGCTACGGTTCCAAAACTTGGAACATTCTGTAAAAATGACATTGCCTGGCAAAGACAGCTACAAAATTAAAATGCATGGACTTGGTGTCATCTAACTAGGAAAATAATTTCTACCCAATGTAAGAAAAACAATACATTTTGTCCATGAAAATTGTTTTTCATCGTAGCTGCAGTGTTCTCTTTCAATTAAGCGGACCTCACCCCAAGTAATAATATTTGTTTTGTGAGATGTATTGTATTCTTGACAATTAATCTACAAAATTTCCCTCCAAAATGTATGAGGTAGGTATAAAGCAAGAATAATGTACATTTTTTCAGCACGACTAGGCATCGCCTTTTTCTTGATAACGTGACGTATTATGCAAAGTCGTTTATCAAGTAAACATTTATAAAAAATAAAAAAAATCGTTTATCAAGTAAATGTATTCAAATTTATGGATGCTTCCTTCCCAGGTGCTTTTTATTGATGAAGTATTTCATTCACCTACTATTATCCTTTGTACTACAATATCATTGGTTGGACGCAAATTACACAAATAAGTTGGTGCTCTTCTAGGGTGAATGTTTTGCATAAATGAAATAGATTTGTCAATTGCATATTTGAGTATTTTCAAATAAAATAACCTATATTTTGTTTTACATTTTTCATCAAATAAAATGTGTACCTTTTCAGCTATGATTTCCCTCACTAAAAAGTTTTCGGTACGTCACGTAATCAACAAAACGGCTTTACGAAAGCATACAAGAGATATAGAAGTGAAGGTATACTTGGCATGACGATTATCATACCAAGAATACCTTCACTTATACATCTCTTGTACGCTTTCGTAAAGACTATTGCATATCAAAGGGCAGGAATACATCTCTTTTTTTCGCAATACCCACGCTTATTCTTTTGGTGAGGTTTCCCTGACTCTCTCTCTCTCTCTCTCTCACTTTCTCTTTCTCTACCCTCCCCCATTGTTCTTCTCAGCTTAAGGCACTGTTTTTTTTAAAACTGTGACCAAATAGCTAAATGGCCCTTTGAGAGCCTGAAACCATGGATGTCGATCCCGGGGGGGGGGGGGGGTTATCCCCCCCAATATTTCGGGTGGCCTGTACAATCATCCCCCCCCCCCAATAATTCACCATCAACAACAACAAAATGAAGAGAAAAATTAATGATGAGAGCTTGATGAGAGTAGTAAGTGGTTATATCTCGCAAGATGACAATCAATATACACATTTTGCTATCTCATTTTCATAATACATACGTACATGAGACAACCGTATATGAGACAAGAATAAATTGAATTCTCGCTCTAACGGCTTCAACAGGAATTGATGAATTTATTCAATTTATACAATCAACAGCATCATAGAAATGCAGTGCGCCAAATGAAAAGCCGCAGCGTTAAAAAGCAACGAGTTAAATGTTAAGCGCGAAGCGCAAAAGTGCAAAAAAAAAGTAGAGAGTGGGAGAGAGAGAGATAATGAGAGACAGAGAGGATACAGGCGCGTAGCTAAGTTGGGGCGGTGGGGAGGTCGCTCCCTCCCCCCCCCCCCCCAAAAAAAAAGCCAGTCAAAAGAGAGAGAGAGAGAGAGAAAAAGAAAAAAGGAAGAGGACATAGGAAGAAAAAGGTTTAAGAGTCGAGAATGGTACAATGAATTGTCATCTTTCTCTACTAATGTAATGTAACTTCAAAGCTTCCGCGCTTTGCGCGGGAAGGGGGGAGGGGGCGGAATTCAGACAAGGATTAAGAGTCGAGAACAGTACAACGTATCGTCATCTTTCTCTAATAATGTAATGAAACGTCAAAGCTTCCACGCTTCGCGCGGGAGGGGGGGGGGGGGGGAGGGAACTGAATTCAGACAAGGATTAAGAGTCGAGAATGGTACAACGAATCGTCTTCTTTATTTAATAATTTAATGAAACGTCAAAGCTTCCGCGCTTTGCGCGGGAGGGGGGGGGAGGGAACTGAATTCAGACAAGGATTAAGAGTCGAGAATGGTACAACGAATCGTCTTCTTTATTTAATAATTGGATGAAATGCCAGAGCTTCCGCGCTATGCGCGGAGGAAGGAGAACTTGATTCAAACAAGGATTAAGAGTCGAGAACGGTACAACGAATCGTCTTCTTTCTCTAATAATTTAATGAAACATCAAAGCTTCCGCGCTTCGCGCGGGACGGGGAACTCCCTCCCTGCACCCACCCCCTACGGAGCGCGCTTTGCGCGCTCTTTAAGTGATTCGCACGCTTCGCGTGCTCACTACCGCCCCCCTAAAATAAAATCCTTGCTACGCGATTGAGAGGATAATAACCCAAGTTGCAAGCCCATGTGGGACCCACATGGGTCCAATATTCTCTGAAATGTTTTCTTTATTGAGGGTGACTAGAAAAAGTGAATAACTTGTAAGGGTGGGGGTGCAACCTGCCACACGCTTCTACCTCTTGGTTGCTTTGATCCATTGCCGGGAATATTTTGGTACCTATCACCCCCCCCCCCCCAACCACGGATACAAATCGACACCGTTGCCTGAAACTTTACAAAGATAAAGAATTAGAAATCAGTTACAACTTTTTCTTGTAGCATGGACCTAGGTTAACCTCACATAGCTTAACGAAAAAATTTCATCGTTGCTTTATGCGCATGAGGTATCCCTGAACAGCAAATTGTTTACGGAATTTCGTAACAAAATTGAAATGCCATTTTGGACGGAGCTGAAAAAAATATATAGCCACAAATAATATGGTTTTTTTCTATTGATGATAAATGAGCATGAGTGGATCTTAAAGAAACTTAACAGTAATCTAAATTAACTCCCCTATTTTGATGAAAAAGTGCAATTGAAAATGGCGTTTCGGACGTTACATTTTCCGTAAACAATGTAGACCCTCATTTAACCCACTAGAACAACAAATTAATGAGGTTGTATATGGTTTGAGTGAGTTTATTAGTTGCTCCAAGTGATTTTATTAAAAGAAAATATAATTTAATTATAGTAGCGCTTATATTAGAAATATAATCAAAATTTGAAAAAGTCGTCTCATTTTCCGTAAACAGTTTTGTAACGTCCGAAACAATTTTCAATTTGAAGTAGCAGAAAATATATGAACAACAGGATATATCTATCATAACATTTTGTTAACATCTCATGGCAGCTACCCACCAAAACAAAGAAATTTGCAATACATTACTACAATACTATTGTTAAAACCAATTTTCCGTTAACAGTTGTAACGTCCGAAACAAAATACGTCCGAAACAAAAAATACCAATAAAATGATGATAAACCATATTTTAAGGTATCTAGAGTGAATAAATCATTATGAAATAAATTATTATAAGTCTTAACACAAGTCAAAACACAAATCAGGTCTTTCAAATCCATTATTTTTTTGTAATCACAAGAATGGTGTTTCGGACGTTACACAATTTTATTGTTAACACAAAGTCGACAAATTTCACCTAATTTTCGATCATATCTGCAGTTTACCATTTCACAATGGACACTCCTGTTAAAAACACTATTTTGATGATTTTATTTAGATTTAAATATAAAAATGTGTAGAAATATGATGCCAAAAATCAAAATAATCCGTAAAATATCTAAATTTTCTGCAAAATTGACTTATAAACATAAAATATTGAAGCCACACTTTGTGATGCAAGGCATGGCTGGCTGCTTCAGTATATCCTTAATTGTAATTTATCAGAAAAAATCTCAACAAAAGTGACTCATAACAAATATTTAGCCACTTTAACAGCACTTTCTGGTATGCTGTTAGCACTTCTCGGACGTTACATTAAACTGTTAAC